AAAACTGGAAAAAGAAAACTTTAGAACAAAATGGATAATGTGTTAAAAGAATGTACCATAAGCTTTTTGACTAGCTTTGCAGCACATTACAAATACTTTCATTGCCTTTAAGTGCAGATGTCTGTGCTAATTTGCCTTTGCCTTCTAAGCAGTAATGTTTTTCAATGGAAATGAAACAGCAAGAAAGTTATGTGATTCTGATGACCCATTCAGATTTTGTGGGTCATTTTAACTATGAACCATTTCGTTTTTGAAAACAGCATTGTAGTCATAGAGGCAACAAGGGACAAATAATAGTCTAGACTCTTGGTTTTCTTTAAAGATTCTGGACATGGTAAGGCAAGATGCAAATATGCAGAATTACATTAATGAACTGCAGTGGATATAAAATGTATGATACTTCTGTCTTAAAAATACTTAGGAAAAAAAAATAGGCACTTTAAACAAATTATGCTAGCGGAGACTACAGAATATTAGTTCATAGCACATAATTCTTTAATAGCAGAAGACAAACACTGAAATGCACTTTTATTGTATATTTTTTTATTTCACAGGAAACAGAAATATACTTTATATTGCTATCCATTGCATAACAAGTAAATATGCACATACAAACCCATTTCAAACACGATAGAGTGCATTTATTGAACTGTTCAAAAACCTTGCTTCTTTTCCTGTTTGGGAATGTCTGATTACAAGCTTCATCTTCAGAACGTTTGATCCTTCTGAAAAACAGGCCTTTCCAGACCTTTGGAAGGAGGAGTACAGGGTGGTAAGGGGGAAAAAATGTCATTTACTTAGAGACACTCTTACATGCTATCTCTGGTCAGAGCATTTTTGGAATTTCCTTTTTTTTATTTGAAGTTTTGCTGGTTAGCACTGGTTATCATCAGTGGTGGTTTTGAAAATCCCTTGCAAAAGGATCTCACAAAATGCCCTAGCGCTTAAATTCCCATCACTGCTGAACATAGCTATTGATGGAAGTTGGGCTTAGATGTTGTCCACCTGCGGTAAACCATGAAAGGTAGAAGCGTCTGGTAAGTAGCTACTATTTTTGCAAGATAGCTGTTGATGACCTCATATGCCTACAGCAAATCAGTGGATTCATGCATTTCTTCAGAGGGGGGAATGTTTCTTTTCGGGGAGAAAAAAAAAATCTCCCAAGTATATTTCAAGTCTTATTTGCATTGCTGGTCTATGATGGTAATAAAGATTTGAGTGATTGATACTTTCATTTGCAAAAGTGCTGTAAATGGTCTCATGATGAGTAATATTCAGTAGCTTACCAGTTGAGTAAAATATTAAATATTTGAAGGACTTTTTTTAAACAGCAGATAATTATCTATTTACCTGATGTTCCTTTCTAGCAGATTTCCATGTTACCAGTTTCTAATGAGGTGTGTGTGTGTGTGTTCAGATGTCAGCTGTAACCTAGTCAATGATTTTGGTCTTTGTATAGCCACACTGGTCCATGCAGAAATCTAGGAAGCTTCAAAATATGTAGTGCTGGTATAGGAATCCAAGACCTTCTGCAGGTCTTGCATTTGAAAGAGATAATGGTGTGGTTTAGCTCTAAATTAAAAGTACAAATGGTATATTCTACCATTTTAATTAGGTTTAAAAGTGCATGTGGTTGTGTGCATAGGTATTTATGAGAAAGTATGTATCAGTGATCTCTTTTGGGAAAGCTGATCTGCAGATATTTTGGGTCCCTATAACAGCAATACATAGTTTTGCAGTTTCTACTTGGACCAATCTGGTCATACAAAGACCAAACATACTGACTAGGTTACACTGGACTCCACTATGTAAACAGTGCAAGCCTGAAGTACCAATTCTTGTGATCTGTTGATTGTCTGTACAACTTCCAAATAGGGTCATTACACGAAATAACTTCATTAATAGGTCCTTTGGAAATGTAGAAATTTAAAGATTTGGGTTCAACATCAATAACATTGCAGCAAAAGCTCAATAAATGCTAATATTTTTAATGTTCATTTTTTGTTTTATGCAAATGAGTCTAGATTTTGGCATTAAAGTGGCAGTGCTGCCCAAGGAACACTTCCACTTATTTTAGAATTTCCCTGATGCCTTTTGCAGTACTATTGATTGTGAACTGCTACCTGTAACACAAAGACTGATAAGTAGGATAAGAGCACTGGTGGCACAGTGGTTAGAATGCAGTATTGCAGGCAAACTCTGCTCACAGCCCGGAGTTTGATCCTGACGGGCCTGAAGATGGACTCAGCCTCTCGCATATTGTTGGGGGCAATATGCAAAACAGTGTAAACCGCCAGAGTGGTTTATAAAGCCCCGTGGGATTGTATACTGTGTAGTCCATAATGCTATTTCTAGGACAAACAAAAAAATTCATGAAATTAGATATTTAATTTAAAGGTGAATGGGGTGCAACTGACAAAAATAGTGAGAAATCAGTAAATTTATTTAAAGTCCCCTATTTCAATGACAAAAGCCATATTTGAGATGTCAAAGCACTCGGCCTGGATGGAACAATCAGTGTGTCTATGCTTTTGTGATAGGAACCAAAATGCTGTGCTATTTTTAATTAACCCAATTATAGTATTGGACAGGATGCACATAGCCTTGTTCTATTTTGTTATAGTCTTGAGTTTTTCAATAGTTTTTCAAGAATACAATTTTTTTTAAAAATGTGCTATCCAGGTTTTCCATCTGTGTAAATACAAAACTTCAGCAAACTCCTTGCAGGAAACTCTTTCAGTTCCAAAAGTGTTTTTCTAATCACAATTATATTTTGCCTTTGTTTCTAAAAAAAAAAAAAAAATTCTATTCCAAAGAAAGAAGCCTTTTTCTATGACCACCACCAGCCTTGTATTTTGGAAAATGTTTTTTAATAATCTTCCTACAACAGATCACTTTGAATAATTCGTACTGTTGGATATTCACTGCTTCGTTCCCATCCATCTCAGATAACATCTTTGATCTATACAATTTCCAGTGCTCGCAATAATGGGTAAATACAGAATACAATTTGTCAGGCAGATTACTGTAGTCTACTAACCAATAACCAGTTCATTTGTCCTGTTTTGCTAGGTGATAAGGAGAGCAGGTTTAACAGGAAAATACCAATACTAGTTGGTGCCAATTATATCAAGCAAGTGACAAGATCATTGGTAGTCCTGTCCCATTCTAGCACTTCACTCGTGAACAATTAGGGCATGTTCTGCCTTACTGCACATACGAATTTTGTATTTTAAAATACTGAAACCCGTGAAATGAAAATGGGGTGTTACCTATTTCTTTTCTCTTTAATTCATTAAGAATTGAAATAACTTAGAAGCAGGGATGGGTGGGCAGAATAAAATAACAGATTCAGATATGCTAACTGGAAAACAAGGCAGAGTGCAACAATTATGTTTCAGCAAGAAATGGCCACGTAGCAATGAAGTAGGAAACAGTATTGAACAGGTGAGGGCTTCTTTTTGAAAAACAGGTAAACTTAATTTTGGAGGAAATTAAAAGACTGTTGGCAGATTGCTTTTAAGTCATGCCAGTACTTTTGTAGAATAGAAGCATGGATAATGACCAAGTTATGATCAAGAGAACAGAAGCCATTATTATAAAGGATCAAACATATATAAGAAAGACAGAATGCATAGAGATATGGACATATTTCGGGCAAATCAGCAAATGTCAGTAACAAGGAATATTGCAGATCATGCACACTCAGGCTTAAAAACGATATAGTTAAAAAAAAAAAACATCCTTGTTATGTGTAGGTAGTCCTCAATTTATGACCATAATTGAGCCCAAAATTTATGTTGCCAAGTGAGACAATTGTTACGTGAATAACTGCAGTTGTTAAAGTAGTAACAGTTTCTAAATGAATCTGGCTTCCCCATTGACTTCTTGTCAGAAGGTTGCAAAAGGGGATCACATGACCGCATGACACTGAAACCATCTAAAATGTCTGAATTCTGATCATGTGACGGGATGCTGCAGTGATCGTAAATGTGTAAACAGTCTTAACTCACTTTTCTCAGTGCTGTCATAACTTTGAAGTTGCTGAATGACAAGGACTCATTCAGTCAATGAATGTCAGGGTTGCGGTGGCTCTGGTTAAGACGCTGAGCTTGTGGGTCAGAAAGGTCGGCAGTTTGGCAATTCGAATCCCTAGCACCGCATAATGGAGTGAGCTCCCGTTACTTGTCCCAGCTTCTGCCAACCTAGTAGTTTGAAAGCATGTAAAAATGCAAGTAGAAAAATAGGAACTTGCATATTGTTGGGGCAATATGGTGGGAAGGTAACAGCGTTCCGTGCGCCTTCAGCGTTTAGTCATGCCGGCCACATGACCACGGAGATGTCTTCAGACAGTGCTGGCTCTTCGGCTTTGTAACAGAGATAAGCACCACACCCTAGAGCCAGAAACGACTAGCAGGTATGTGCGAGGGGGACCATTAGGTAGGTCACCACTGACAATAGTGAGTTGCCTGAAATCAGAAACACTATTTTTTGATACATGGTAATATTATAAAGGTTACAAAAGAATATATTTCAACTTGGATTTTTGCTACCAACAAAAGGAAGCCATTTGGGATGAAAAACGGAATCCTAATACTTCAAACATTTATTCACGTTAAACTCATTTGGTAACAAGGATTTCTTAGTGAACTTACCTGCAGGCATTAAGCATATCTAATTTTTTTTCCTGATCAGTCAAAATCCATTAGGCATTATGAACAAATTGGTGTAATAAATACCTGTTAAAAGTTATCCTAACACTTTTATTGCTTTTATTTAGCAAGACATGGGGATCTTTCAGCCTGCTTGCCTGGCTGTTATGAGGAGCTTAGAAGGAGACTTATCTATCTCTGCAAGAGCTATAATTATAGGCAACTAATATGGAAAGCTGGCAGAAAAAAAATAGTGCCCCTTAATTAAACATCTTCAAGCCGGAAATAACATTCCTTGGATTGAATAATACATTCTACCATTCAGAACTAAATTTAGCTGCTTTTAAAATTACACAGGGAAGCTGTATCTATTATATATAGCTTTATTCTTGTTAAATTTCCATCACACCGTTGATACCACATCATGAAGCAAAATAAAATGCTAATGTTTATTTAAATACTTTTTAACAATATCATCTGTCTCTTGGGAAAATACAGAAGTTATATTAAATGGGCTATTTTCTACATAAAACTGATTTTCTTTATTAGTCTTTTGTTTTATTTTTTCTAAGAATTCCACTTTCTGCTTGTTGAGCTCCTCAGACAAAATCTTCATTTCACTTGGGGTAAGGCCTTTGGCTGGAAAACAAAACAATGAAATGCTGTACTTTAAACATGGTATTATCTTAACATTTCAGAAGGATGGCTATTATCTAAAAAGAACATGGCTACAGCTATAAAACAGATCTATAAACAAGTCTAGGGTATACTGTAGTTTGTTTCCTTTGGCTTAGCAGGTATAATCAGCCTCTGTAGTATAAAAGACATGTTTCGTGTGTTGTATAAACCCAGCCAGTTGTGGCTTAGTCTATAAATCAGCTTATCAACTCCATAGGGTATATCACCAATATATACTAAACTTTTGAGACTTAATTTTATACCTATAATACTCAACCTCCCAATAAAAAAACAGCCAATCTTTCAACTGTAAGATTACTATCCTTCTCAGATATATTACAGCCAGCCCAGCTCTCTGATGTCCTGTCTAGAAAAGTCTTGCTTAGTTTAATATATATATACCAGGTCTGCCATTGCAGAACAGTGATCTGTCAATAACTTTTCAATTGCCAATAATATATATATATTATATATATGATCTCTTCTGTGTATGAAAACAGTCTCAGCCATAAAATGTCCCATAGGCATCATTTGTTAGCACCGTCTTCAGTGCAATAGTTAAATTTCCTATAGTGAAAGCTAGTTTGGTCCAGTGGCTAAGGTACCAGGCTAGAAACCAGGAGCCTATAAGTTCTAGTTTCTTCTTACTCATGAAAGCTGGCTGGCTGACTTTGGGGCACTCTCCCTCAGCCCATGACATTAGGCTCAGGAGACAAGCCAGTCAGTCAATTCCTGTTGCAACCAATGGATCAACATTTAGTTGATCTGAAAAAAAGCAGGCCTGCGCTCTCCTTGCAGTAAAATTCTCAGAAAAGTTGCATTCCCACTAGTGAAGTCATCCCTTGCTAAGCATACCTTTAGCCTTCTGCATTGTTTCAGAGATTGTTCGCCTGAGAGCTTGATCAGCTTGATGTAGAACATTGCTTGCACATATAGCCCGATCCATCTCCTAGTCAAGATCAACCAACATTGTTTTAATAAGAGTTACTGATCCCTTGGTCCACCAGAATTCTGGATAGTAAGATGGATGGTGTCTAACTTTGATAAATTAGCAAGAATTAACAATACAGATTACTTTGTATCAGAACAATTCTAGGTTACTTTCTGAAACTTACTCACCTTCCCTGCCAAGTTTTGGCATAGCCCCAAAGTGTCTGCTTTTCTTCCAACTCTGCAGCAAGTTCCCTCCACAATCTAATTTTATACACAAGGGCTGAATGAACAGTATTGCCTCCACCTGCATAACTATAGCTTAAATAGGGGTATTTTACCGTAAATGAGAAATTATACTTGAAATGGGCTATTTTTTTACCTGTATTCCTTCTCCACATAATCAGTACACATTTTTGTCAGTGATGAACAAGCTTCTTAAACATTAAAGATTCTGTAAATCTTTTCCACCTCATTTGATGTCCAAAAATGTATTTATTCAAATTTTGGGAAAAAGTAAAAACTTCCTGGCATCAAAGACTATAGGGGAAAAGGAGGCGGGGAAATACTCAAGATCCAACTTTGGGCTGTTTTTTTCTGGCCAGAACTAGGGAGAGGCACTTCTGAGACATGTTCACCAATCCTCCTCCTTCAGATTAAAGTTCTGTTTATCAGATCATTGTCTAGGCTACATCTCTTCCTTTGCTCTCCCAAGGTTATTCCCACATACAATTACATAATGCAACCTTTTCTCACAGCAACTTTCCATCAATTGAATTGAAAGAACAAGATACTAAAGAAAGTATCTGAACTTCTAGTGCATCATTACTGCCACCTGTTTGCAGTTGATAAAATTAGAAGCATTATTTTTCATTTAACTCTCACCTCAACATTAGTAGTACTGAGTAGGATTTGCTTTTATATTTTCAGAACGCAGTGTCTTTAAGTCAAAGATCAACATTTAAGATTTTGAAACTGGTGATGCATTTGCATAAAAAGGCCAGGAGACAATTTGGAAAATTTAAATTTTGTTTTAGGAACTTTAAAAATAGAAAACAATCATAAGCAATAAGGTTAACCCTAACCCTTCTGAGTAGTAATTTTTTTTATTCTACCCAGCTTTTGGGAAGCAGAAATTGAACAATAAATAATATTTATATTTTAATATGAATAAAGTTTGGCTTCCATAGTGTGTGCAGTCCCTGCCCTCCGAAGTGTATGGCTCTAAAGCCTCTCCATTAGTTGAACAAACATGTTGTGTGTGCGCGCACACACACACACACACACCATTGATTAGATATAATTAAAATGAATCTGAGTTTTGCATCTATCCCATTTGATCTGCTTCTGAACTGTCAAAGACCAATTGTGCGCTGATCCCTTTTATCCAGTCTTTTGATTATTTTAATATCTTGATTTTAATGCTGAATGCTTTTAATGTGTTTAATGTTCTCGTTGTTTTATATTGTCCTTTTATGATGTTGCAAGCTGCCCAGGGTTACTTGATAGTGAGATGGGTAGCATATAAATTAAAAATAAATAAAAAATGCACTCCTCCATTTTAGGCAGGGGGAGGTCATTCCTGGTATAGAACAGTAGATAGCTGTCCAGCTCTCTTGTTTATTTTTATCCACAATGTCAGGGGCAAAATATATTATTCCTATCAAGGGCATCCTACATATAACAAATTTCTTGAACTTGTTACCCACAGAATCCAAGGTACCTTTTCTTCTGCATTCTCTTCCATAGATTTTACTGGATTTTCCAAAGCAGAAGATAACAAATTAAACACCTGAAGACTGAAAAAATATATAAAATTAAGTTGCAAATGCACACACATATAGACGTCTAGCAGTTTGTTCAAGGATAATATCTGAGATCAATGGGACCAATAACATCCATTTAATAAGTTAAACCCTGAAGCTCAATGTACAAACTGCAATTCAGTACAAATGAATGAGTTTCTCTACAAGTAGGAGCCTTACCCTCCCCCATATCTTCCAAAAGCAACTTTTACTAGACTATGTAAGTTTTCGCTGTTCTCAAAAGCTCCTTTCCTCTGAAGTAAGAATCCTACACACAGAGACTGCCCATAGATCATTATAAAAAGAATATAAATAATGTGTTGCAATGAGATAACATACTTATCTTCAAATGAAAATTCAGCACTTTTCAGAATAAGGCTATTTTGCTCCCACGTGTATTTTTTTGGATTTGGACATTCTAGCTTTTGTGCCATTGCAAATATGGTTTCCTCAGGTAATGGCTCCTTTCTCTGAGAATTTCTTTCTAAACAAACTTCAACCTGGCTGTCTAGGAACAACTGACAGAAGCCCAATGAATCTAAAAAATAAAAAATATGTATTATCAAAAACGGTCATTTAAAATTCAAACTGTGTAAGATGCAAAAAAACTTTACTGAAATTAAAAATTAAACAGTGGGTGAATTAAATATTTATTAAATGTAATCACACACACACACAAATCTGCATAGCTACTTAAACAAGTTTTTCAGGTTAAATCTTGTTGATATGCAAGCAAAATGCATATATGCATTACATAAAATACATTGCATGAAAAATAGTTTTGGAAAACTGAAGACATCAAATAGGATTATGGGGTGATCAATTTTCCCCTTTTGAGCTTATTATGTCAATGAATTACATTATCCTTTACACGAGAAAAGCTTGACTCTTTGGTGTCAGCCTTTAAGGACGAATTTGTTTCAATACAAGAGAAAAACTATGATATTTGCAGCCCAGGGAATTTGCTCAGCAGGTTATAAAACCATCCAAACTCTCGGACATACTTCTACCCAGCACTTTATCTACAGCAGTCCCAGAGCTGGCTATGTTCTTTCCACTGGCTTCAATGAGAAGAAATTCTTTTTTAAGAGAGGTGATTTATGAAAGCTGTATTTTTCCCACTTTTATGCTGTCAGAATGAACCCTGCAGGATACAAAATATCTTAGAAGTCTCCTACCCCCACCCTAAATAAGTAGCAATTGCCTAAATTCAGTACCAAGAGAAACAGAACAATTAGATCATGCAAAGTAAAAAAAAAGAGGAAACACCTGAATAGATATGTATGTTGAAGGAGTTACCTTTAACAATCATCAGTATTTGTATTAAATGTGGAAAAACAAGGTCATCCGAACGCTAGTAAAATTTAATCCCATTCTCCTACAGACAGTTCTTTGGTGTACTATGTAATGTTTTATTGTTCTTTACTTTTTTAAAAAATGTAGGCTGTCCTGATAGAGTTGGATGGCCTCTAAATTTAATAAATAATGAATAATCAATCTTTCAAAATGTGAATTTTTGAGGTCAAAATATTTCTGTCCAGAAGAAGCTGCAGCTGGCATGCCAGCTTTAACTGATATAACAGTTTTCACAATGTCCTTCCGGGAACAGCTGAACACCACAGACTGACAACCTCAGATTCAAGAACAGCACCAATTTGTCTGGAACAGCTGGAGTAGCCCCTCCTTACACAGAGGAACTCCTAACCAATAGCCTCTTTGTTGCATACTAATCCACCAATGAACAGATGCCAATTTATCAGAATCGCTGTCCAACTGGAAAGAAAGGCAAGAAAAGAAATACTCCTATTGGCGATTGAATTAATTTGACTCTCCATCTCACAGAGATTTATGGTCCTCTTCCAGCCAAGGCCATCCATCAGGTTGAGAAAAGTCATTTCTATACTCATGCCCCAAGATTTATAAGTCTATCAAAAACAACAGTTCACAAAAATCAGGCAAAAAAATAGTGGCATCCTGTACCATGGATGACTGCCCACTAAAGATGTTTTGGTAGAGGTGTTCTATGCAACACTTTACTGATTTGTAAGACAGCACAAAAGATGTAATTGAGAAGTTCAACCCCGCTCACCAAGAAAAATCTCTTTTAACTACAACGACTCAACATTATGGTTTGCATTGCTAAATTGTGAGGTTGAATCGCTGGCGTAAAATATAAAATCCAACTTACACTGGCGAGCTAACTGGTACACTTCATATCTCATACTCCGATAATAAAAGTTGTCATCTAAAATAAAATATATTGGCCTGAGTGGAATGAAATCTATTAAATATTGACAAAATGCAGAGTCTTCTGTTCCTGCAGATATTAATCCTTGTTCTATCAAACAGGAGGAAAAACTTTTCCACATTGTTTCAGTTCTGTTTGAAGGAGGAACATAATGCCGTCCTTTAATAAGAGCCTGAAGGAAGTGTTCAAGGTACAATAATAATTCATGCCGGTATGATCTCCAATGAGAAATCTATAATGTAAGAAGACAATTATTCATGTTAGATTACAGATTGGCTGCAGCAGCTATCAATGGCAACAAATCTGGAGCAGCTATCAATGGCAACGAATGCACTGTTACTTACCTCAATATAAAATGGAGATTTGGTCTCCATAGATTTTGATATGGTGTTCATCATATTTTAGATCACTGGTAATTTTTTTCTGTTTAGCTATGTCATTCTATTTAATTTAAATCCTTCCCCCAACACACATATTTTGATAGAAAGCTCAATTTCACTATAAAGGTACTGCTAGAGTCTTTCCAGAAAAACCACTTAACTCCAGTTCCTGTTGGAACAAATTAGCAGCAGACCCCCTCAAAATTAACAGCACAGTTGGACAAAGGATTCAGTGCAAAGCATTTGAAGGGGCATTTTGCATGCGCGTGAAGAAAGTGCACTTCCTCAAAGCACAGAAGCAGCTGCATGCTCCTGAAGACTCAGCTCAATTGCTTTGAAGGCCTTTTCAGATTATCTCCATGTGCACTCCATGTGCTCCATGTGTTCAGAGAAAAAATGTCCTTTGAAACAATCTGCGATGCAAGTTGTGCATGCGTAGAATTGCTAAAAAGCAGTGCAGCTGAGCTTTCTAGAATATGCGGTTGCTTTAATTCTTTCAGGAAGGATGGTTTTGCTTATGTCCACAGGCTTTGGGAAACACCCCTTCAGATATTTTGTACAACACTTGTAACACTAACCTCTACAGAAGGACAACCATCACTGCAGCCCTCCACCAATCTGGGATACCATCCCAACAGTGAAGCATGGTGGTGGCAGCATCATGCTGTGGGGGTGTTTTCAACACCAGGGATTGGAAGGTTAGGGTTGAGGAAAGCTAAATGGAGCAAAGTACAGAGATATACTCATGAAAACCTATTCCACAGTGCTCAGGATCTCAGACTGGGCTGAAGGTTCACTTTCCAACATGGCAACGATCCTAGACACACAGCCAACACAACATAGGAGTGGCTTAGGGCCAACTCTGTAATTGTCCTAGAGTGGCCCACCAAAGCCCCGACTTGTATCCTATTGAACAAATCTGGAGGGACCTCAAAATGGCTGTCCACTGACGGTTGCCATCCAACCTCATTGAGCTTGAGAAGATTTGCAAGGAAGAATGGCAGAAAATCTCCCAAACCAGATTTGCAAATCTTGTCCCGTGACACTCCAAAAGACTTGAGGCTGCAATTGCTGCCAAAGGTGCTTCAACAAAGTATGGAGTAAAGGATCTGAATACTTATGCCAATGTGATATTTCAGTTTTTTTCTTTTTAATAAATCAATAGACATTTTAAAATTCTGTTTTCACTTTGTCATTATAGGGTGTTGAGAGAAAAATAGGAATTTCAACAACTGTAGAACCAGGCTGCAGCATAACAAAATTGACAAAAGTGAAGGGGGTCTGAATACCTTCTGAATGCACTGTCCACACACACACACACTCACACACACACCATGTAGGTAGGCAGGTAGTCCTTGGCTTATGACAAGTCACTTAAGGACTGTTCAAAGTTACAACAGACCTTCCAGAGCTATTTAGTACTTGTTTTTGGAATTATGATGGCCACATTCCCCCCATTAGTATATATACTACACATATTAATTTCAGTTATGGAAAAGGGGCATACAGTAAGAAGATATTCTGTAACAGCTTACACAGCAATGTTTTAAGGTACTGTAAAACTCTTACATCTCTCAGTATATTAATATAAATCTCTTAATAGTAACACAGTATCAGTTAGATTAATACTAATCTGCTAAACATTAAGCATTTCTTCAAACATAACTTTTTATTCTTCTCAAGTAATTATATATAAAAATACTATCAAAATTTAACACTATGTTGGTAATTAATATAAATATTACAACTAAAGAACAAAATAGTAAAATTTGGATACAGAACTATTTCCAGTAGCTTATTTCTGCAAGTTTTAAAAATGCAGGCTAGTATTGATGTTAATGTTATCCAGCATACATAAGTATTTAAAAGATTGATGTATTTTTATTTTTTTTACTGAGAATGTTAATATATTCTATTAAAACAAACTAATTGCTATGAAAATAAAGTCAAAACTAACATGACATTTTATTAACGTCAAGGATTTAATGAATTTGTGATAAACCAGTATGCTCCCTTTATATACAGATTATACTCGTACTAGCAAATTTAAGACTATGTATACACAAGATAAGCTTGTTAATTTTAAAAATAAAATATTGAACTAATTAAACTATAAAGTTAATATGAAATCTGAAAATGCCACAGTGCAATGACTACCACCAAAATACCACAGTGCAATGACAACCATCAATGTGTGTGCCTGTATGTAACACACATACACACACCCTTAATGGTTCTAAACATCAAGCTGGGATTTAACTCTATAAATCTCTTTATTCTCATAATTTGCTATTTGTTGTTGATTAACTTACTAAATTTGCATTAAAAAAACTTTAGTGAGAAAATCTTCCAACTGCCCAGAATCTTCTGAAGTAAGTGATGATAATACATTTGATGAAAGTCTACTACTTAACTTACCCTAATCTTACCTCTGTTTCACTGAATGCTTCCAAAGGAATGAGGTCGTCATAACTGAGAAGAATGCAGGACCATCCTTTGCACTTCCTCAAGGAGGAACTCAGCGCTTGTGCTATCCTAGTTTTACCTGCTGCTGGTAAACCACAAAGCACACACAGCCCCAGCTGATGGCCTCCAACTCTCTCTTGCTCCATGGTTTCCCCTTGATGAAACTTCTGTGAGACCAAGGAACTGACGGTTTGATGTTCTGTGTTAAGATAACATTGCACGTGTTTGCTGTTTCACACAAAGAATGATCAGAAATGCCAGTACTGAAGGAACAACTGCTTTGTCTGAATACTTTGTTTTCTGATAGCTTTTGATGCCACGCTTTTCCTAGTTAGAGGAACAACAATTGCTCATAATAAATAACAGAGAAATTTGAGTTGTTACTGTTGCAGATAATTGATAGAACATAAAAAACGCATGCATTCACTAGGGCAACTGTTATATTGAAAATGGATACACTGAGATCTATTTTAAAAAAATAATAACATTTTGCTGTTTATTATTAGAATTTTATTCTGCCTTTATTACTTTATAAGTAACAAGGCGGTGAACAAGCTAGACACCTTCTTCCTACTTTCCCACATTTATCATTTTTCATAAGTACTAAAAAATCAATACCAAAGTATGATTTATGTTTATCGTGCAGTTTGTTCAATAACCCACAGTATTTTTTTTAAATTAAAGTAATTTAAAGAAATTAAAGAAAGTTAAAATAAGATGGGCATTACTGCCACCTACTGAAGTTATCTATAAATTAAAGCAAATTCTCAGTAATACCAATTATTGTGATTTTAAATCAGCACTCAATGAAAAATAGAAATTTGGGAAAAAAATATTGCACAACCTTATAACCCTGAGTCCACAGCATTTCATTTTGTTTTAAGTTGGCCCTAAAGATGAATGTTGAAAGATTTATGAATGAATTGGATGAATATTTACCCTTGCTTTATGTTCCTATTAGGGAATTCAGATGTAACAATTTCATAACTTTTCAGTAAAATAGTAAATATAGACCAGGAGTATCTTACCATCTTTATCTATCTTGTTCGCATGTATAACAGAATAGCCACTATTTTTTAAAAAAACACCTACTAAGATGTTTGAATTTATGGGGTGGAAATAAATAAATAAATGCTGGATTATTTTGCAGGGTTGTGCATCTCTCCGTGCTTTGATCTTTTTATTTATTTATTTATTTGGTTTGGTTTGTCAATTGCTTTCAAGATAATAGGTATAAGTAAAAACATAGTTATGAATACATGGATACGTATAAGAAAAATAAAAGAAACAATAGGATAGGGATGGTAGGTTGGTGCGCTTATGCAAGCCCCCTACAGACAGACCTCTTAGGAAAGGGGTGAGGTGAATAGTAGACAGTCTAAGGTTAAAGTTTTTGGGGTTTGGGGAAGAAACCACAGAGTCAGGTAGAGTATTCCAGACATTGACCACTCTGTTGCTAAAGTCGTATTTCCTTATTTCTTAGCATCTTCTTCATTCCCCCCCCCCCGGATTTCCAGAGTCCCCTGTTCAAATAATTCGCTGAACTAAGCAAGTGAAAAATGGCTGTCACAACCAGGTCACGTTTGTTAAATGTTAAACCTGGTTCCGGGGTCGTGCATGATTTAGCCCATTTGGTTATTTTAAGTAATGCACTGGGCAAATTCAGTATCCAGATTAAGTGGATCACCTGGACCCAGCCAGTGTTTTAAAAGGCTTCCCTTTGCCACTTACCTTCTCTCCCAGACTTGTTTATCGGGTCAATTATTTCTGTTCTATTCTGTCTATCCATTCACCTGCCCTCGACAGCAGTCACCCCTTTTCCCAGCCAAGGGGGGGGGGGACAGCTGTTCCTACCACCGTCCCTACCTTATAAGCCTCTGCCAGCGACACTCTATCTTCGGGAAGGGGGGACTCTATCATCCGCTTACTAAAGTCCAGCCGAGTGTACGCGTTGAATTCTGGGAGTTGAAGTCCACGCATATCAAAGTTCCCAAGGATGAGACAGCCCGCTCTCGGGTTTGAAATTAAGAGCCACGAGTAGCTTCCTCCTTCTCAACAAGCCTCGCCGGCTGAATTCACCCAGCAAGCTAAGCCGCAAACGAGCAAATCACTGTTTAGTTTTAATGTGTGGATGTATATTAAAACTACACAGTCAGTGGATATAATTGGGTTTAAAAAAGAAACTTACATATGTGATGTTAACTTGGACCCAGATAAAAAAAAAAATAAGGGAAACAACTGCAGTGGGAATAAGAACAAGAGTAATATAAAACTTTCGGCTCCGTATAACCCAATGGAACCCAGCCGGTCTTCCATTTCGAGTTTTAGTGCCTGCTTTGGCTTCTCCCTGGCGAAGGCTTGGAAATGGCAACTAGCTCAAAGGTTGCCTTGCCTCCACGTTCACACAACCTGACCTGCGATCGGCTGAGGATGCGACTGGAGCGGCATTAAGATAAAAAACCAAAACAAAACCCCAAAGGTTTTGCTCATTTTCGAGGAAGCACAGGGCATTAGGCAAAAGAATAGCCCATAGGAAGAGAAATTTGTTGGCCAACAGCTATTGTACCCGCGGCGCCCAGCTTGCTTCTGATTGGGTCAAAACAAATAAAAAATCAGGGCTGTCCTGAGAGAGAATACTCTTCCCCACCCCCAATCTCTTTCTAAGGAAGATCTTGGAGTTTGCTAGGTCAGGGGTCTCCAACCTTAGCAACTAGCTTTGCTGGCTGAGGAATTCTGGGAGTTGAAGTCCACAAGTCTTCAAGTTGCCAAGAGGGGGAGACCCCTGTGCTAGATCACTCCTAGCTGAATATACACTAAAGCAGCTGTCTGAAACCTTGGCAACTTTAAGCCTGGTGGACTTCAACTCCCAGAATTCCCCAGCCAGCTTTAAGTCCACCAGACTTAAAAGTTGCCAAGGTTGAAGACCCCTGCACTTAAAGCAACTTTTTTCAAACTTGGCAATTTGAAGATATGTGGACTTCAACTCCCAGGATTCCCTAGCCAGCATGCTGGCTGGAGCATCCTGGGAATTGAAATCCACACATTTTTATAAGTTGCCAAATTTGGAAAAACAGTGCATAAAGCATAATGTGGTTTGCTTTGGGCAACTCCGCTGCTTTGGAATGATTTAGGAATGATAAAATACAAAAACAAAATGGGATCGGTATTTAGAAACTGTATGCCTGAGATACAATTCCTGCAGCATAGATTGCCTCTCTGTGGAACATTTTCTTGTGATAAGAATTGGTGGTATAAAGCTCAGCAAATGTTCAGAATATTCTGCTTTCTGACCCTGCTTGAATACGGCTCCATTCTGAAGAGATATGCAGAGTCACTATGAACTGACAATTAGAATCTAAGTTCTATGATGGAAAGAAACAACTTGGGGAAAAGTAAATTGGGGTACTTTAGATAGACAATTTCTAGCATTTCTGGTTTTTAAAAAATGTGGAACAAGAGAAAATCTACAAGATAAGGAAAAACAGCAACCTAAGAATAACAATTGTACACAAAGAGATAAATATACACATGTTAATGTGTATGATATTAAATGAATAAGTGGAACTTTCAAATTACTGAATTTGCATTAATTTATTTTGCAGTCTAGACCAGTGATCCCCAACCTTTTTGACGCCGCGGCCCGGTACCGGCATCAGCTGGGCGCCGCCATCTTTTTTTGACGAAAAAGATGGCGGCGCCCAGCAACCAGCGGCCCGGTAAGACTTGTTCCGTGGCCCGGTACCGGTCCGCGGACCGGCGGTTGGGGACCCCTGGTCTAGACCACTTCAAAACTTTTTCAAACTCTTATTGTACATTATTATTTTTTAGCCAGAGCAATATACCGCTCATTTAAATAATTGAGAAACACTGGAAAATGTTGCAATAATAAACCTATCTCACAAGCCAGAAATAGATTACTGCCATATCTCAGATAGACTACTACAACCACATGGAATAAGCATAGCAGGACAAACAGACAGAATGCATCCATGATCACCAACTGGTAGTCAGAAGGCATGATGAAAATTCTTTAATTTCACAAAATATAGACAGATTTTACCATAGTTTCAGTTGGGAAAATGTGAACATCCCAGACCAAGCTAAGTCCAAAAATGCCAGGGAAATCCTAGAAGCCTGGCACTCTGACAAATCAGCCATCAATAGACACATAGACATTAACAACATCTATAGACTGTGCAAAAGAGACAATCAACCAGCCCCAAAGAGAAAAGGACTCCAGCACCTCTTCACCAGTAATCAGAACTCAGATCAGCATACATTAACTTCAAGGTCAACTTCAGACTAACAATCAAGTAAGCAATACTTGTGATCACCTTTTGTGACCTTCTGACACGCAATCAATGGGGAATCCAGATTAGCAACTGTGTTGCTAACTTAACATGTGCAACAATTCACTTAATAACTGTAGCAAGAAAGGTAGTAAAATGGGGCAAACTCAACACGTTTCACTTAGCAACATAAATGTTGGGCTCAATTCTGGTCGTAACTCGAGGACTACCTGTAGTTCTTTTACAGGTAGCTAGTAGATGGCACTAAATGTTTCCATATTGTATACTTTTCTCCTAAAATGTTTTAATAACATTTATACTCTAACATGAATTATTAGAAGTATTGTTCCTTTTTCATTGTCAAAACATAGTAAAGTGGTTTATAGATGCAGTAATAATCAGAATCAAAATACTTAAGTTGGCAAAAAGAAGTTAATGGCTGTAGACCAAATCAAAAAGGAAATTCTTTAAAATTCTTCAACTATAGGTAGTTCTTGGTTAATGGGGCTAGAATTACTGTCAATAAGCCACACAGTTGGAAAGCATGGTATCATGTGACTATGCCACTTACCAATGGAAATTCCGGCACTTCTAGTCGTTAAGTGAATCACCCTGGGTCATTAAGCAAGGACGTTGTATGGTCATCATTTGAAACGCCCTGCCAGTTTCCCTGTTGACTTCATTTGTAGGAAGCCAGAAGAAAGGTTGCAAATGATATCACGTGACTTTACAAAACCGGCAACAAATTCAAGGTACAATGATGAGCACCATTTGGTCAGAAAATTTGAAAGGACTATGATTCATATTTTAATACAGAAAATCCTGAAAATGGAGATATGAAAACAGAACTTTTCCTCTTGGGCTTAATGGAAAAAGAATTGGAGAAAAAGTTTGGAACTTTGTTACTATACATGTTGACAGCAGCAAGATTATTGTATGCACAAAATGGACCTTTGTATACACAAAAAAGGACACTTCGATTCCTACCAGTGATGGGATTCAAAAATTTTTTACTACCAGTTCTGTGGGCATGGCTTGGTGGCCGTGGCAGGGGAAGAATACTGTAAAATCTTCAGTCAGAGGTGGTATTTGCCGGTTCTCCGAACTACTCAAAATTTCCGCTACTGGTTCTCCAGAACTGGTCAGAACCTGCTGAATACCACCTCTGATTCACTGGATATATATATATATATATAGAAGAATGGTTGCAGAAGTTGATGGAGTTGGCTGAAATGGCAAAATTTGCTTAAAGAAAAGAACATAAGTACTTTGCTTAAAGAAAAGAACATAAGTACTTTTGTTTCCACAGGGAAATTGCTTCTGAACTTCATGCCTGATGTGGAAAAGAATGAAATTTTGATTCTGGGTTTTACAGATTAGACTGATAGATTCTTGCAGAAGTGACTGGTTTATACAATTATGGTAAAATAAAAAGTTGTGATTATTGTTAATGCCCTATTCTACTGTAATAGGTAGAGTCAGAAGTGCTTCTTTTTCTTTCCTTACCCTTACTCGCTTTTCTCTGCCCTTTCTCTCTCCCTATCCGTGCCCTTTTATTTGCTTTTCTATTTTGTATTTTATAACACTTTATAACCTAATAAAAAGTGACTTATAAGAAAAGTTTGAAAGGTTGCTGAATAAATGGTCACTAAATGAGAATCACCTATACACCTTATACTATTTATCTGCAATCATGTTGAAATATTGTAAAAGCATTAAATTTGTTACTGATTTTTCACATCAATGAAATATCAGATTTTTAAAAATATGCCATTTGTATGTCATTTTATTTTTTTATTTTTTTACAAAATGGTTCACAACATTTTAACAGAAATTGTGCAACTGATTTTTCTACCACTAAATTACAAAAGTGATTTGTGCAAAACTGCAAATAACTTTATATAGGTACAAAGCTTAGAGGTGAAAGAACCATTAATTTGATTGATTACATGAAAATTCAATTTTGAAGTATTCTATAGTCTCTAAAATACATATTAATATAAATTTTCAGACAATGTAAACATTAAAAAATATGTTTATATCTAAATTTTGACATTTGTATCCAACATACGGTATTTGTTCATCAATACAATTACATTGCCAAAAATGAGATATTAAAAACTTTTCAAAAACATTTTGTAATCAATTCTGCATAGAATTTCATGTATGCCTGATAGTGGAAAGAGGTTGTCATATAAATCATTCATTAAATTTGGTGGACCATATGTCTTAGTCTTGATTTACAGGTCTGAACTGGCTATTGTGCCTCCTAAACCATATATTAGGAAGCATAATTATTCAACACTTTGCCCAATTTTCAAATACATTATCTTTTTCAAAATATGTATTTATGCAAACTGCAATTATGTGTGACTTTAAACAAAGGCTGTAACACTGTAAGGATACAAATTGCTCTTCCTCACCAGAAAACTACTCTTTAATCAAATCTTTGGTTTAATGAATCCATACTGAAATGTCATATAATGTTTTTACCAAAATTACTAACAGGGCTGGTATTGCAGAAATGTGGCATCGCTGCACTTTAATGAAAAATGGTACAAATTACTATTATGAATCTGAAATGGTTTGACATGCTTAATGAGCCCAGTCAATTGTGTTTTTTTCATTAAAGCATAGTTAAGAAAACATGTCTTATTATGTTTCAGCATGTAGTCGACCTTTTGTCTCATGTTGATAAAATATTAACATGACTATCAAAATGATCAGATAAAGCTATAAATAAAAAATGTGTAACTTTCACAGATTTATGATATGAAAACAGAAGTATCATCTATTTCAGTGTTAGAATAAAACATTTAAAATATATTCACTTTTTACTTGGAAAGTTGAAAGAATATTGAGAAATATCTTACAATAACATGGTCGTTTAAACACTTAAGAATAAGTGTTTAAAATCTTCCTGTGTGGGAAGTTTCAGCTGTAAACATGCAGATCAACAATACAGTGCTGTCAAGTCACATTTGTTGATTTTAAGGCAATACAAATCACTTTCTGATCTTTGCTCAAATAGATAATACTACACTATATAGCCCTTCCTTCACTGATTGACTGATTTTTGAAACCCATCTTGTGCTTCACTTCATTATATTCCATTCACATTGTTTCTTAATGTAATAAACCAACTGACTACAAAGAACCAATTGCACACTTTAAAAAAAATCAGAGCAACTACATAATTAGAAAATCTGTCATTGATGTAAGAGCAGCAGTCTCCCCCAATTTTTATTGGGATCAACAACAAGGTAATTTTTATGACAGATTTAACTACTCTTTCCCCAACCATGACAAGTAACTTCAATAGGTGTTTTCTTGTAATGTTAATAATTAATATGTTAGGAGTGAAGAGAGAAAGGGAGGAATCTCATTGGGCCCACAACTAGAGAAGAACCTCACCACCTCTTCTTCTCATAAAAATTGCACAAGCATGTCCTACATTTTATAAGTCTGGTAGGGTTTCTCATCACATTTTCTACAATATCTAGTTTGGCCCTATGTTAGGGTAAAAGATTTTTACTGGTATGAGTATTATTTGTAAAAGCAATATCCTGTGGTCTAATAATTAAGGCAGCACTTTATTTCCTAAATAATGATTTGGTAGAGCAGCAGACCCTAAAGTAAATTAAGTTTAATGTCATTCTGTTTTAGAAATTAAACTGAGGTCTTCCTTTGTATATTTCTAAAAAAAACCACTTTTAATTTATTTCATTAATATAATATTTTTCCTAGTGGCATACATGTCTTTATAATTCTTCAAGATGGAGGAGAGAAAACGGGTTTTTGTGGGATTGGTGGTCTTAAAGGTGAGTTTCGTGGAATTGGTGGTCTTAAAGGTGAGTTTCGTGGAACTGGTGGTCTTAAAGGATTTTGTGGAATTGGTGGTCTTAAAGGAGGATTTTGTGGAATTGGTGGTCTTAAAGGAGGATTTTGTGGAATTGGTGGTCGTACGGGAGGTCTTTGTGACATTGGTGGTCGTACCAGAGGTTGTTGTTGAGGTGGAACAAATTGATTTTGTACTGGTGGCCTAAAAAAAAGGAGAGGAAAACAGTCTGTAGATAAGGATTTCAGATAAGGTCTGGATAAGGATTTCAGATAAACAGTCTGTAGATAAGGATTTTTGGTGGGTACAAAGATCCCTTATAAAGAACTACTTATTTTATTTTTATTTTTATTTACTTCTATTTCACATTTCTGAACTGCCCATCTCCTCAAAGAGACTTACTGTAGCATCGAAGTACAAGGAAGTTGATCTGAGATAACCATATGCACATAGTAATCCTTTAACTGAACTGGGAAACAGTATGAATTTGTTCTGCTAGTTGAGCTAAGCCTTCATCTTCAAATTATCTCAAACAATTTTTACTTTAGTTATTGAAATAAAAGCCACCTAAACAATTGTGCCAGACATGAATGAAGTGCATTCAAATGACTATAACATATTAATGTATGAAATGAATATATGAACTATTATTTATTCACTGAGATTCTAGTTTCCTTGAGGCATCAAGGCCTTCTGATTCCTACAACATAAATAAACACTGTTGGGTTGAAAGAAAGTAACTGACCCAAAATCACCCAGTGAACTCTGTGGTTGAGAAGAGACATTGGCTTCCCACTCTTTAACCACCACACATCATTATACGGGAAAAGTGTGCTTATCACTGGAGACAGTTGGAATTTAATGGTGAACACCAGCTTCCATTTCTAGCCATTACTCTCATGTGGCTGCAATAAATTGCTATAGAGCATGCAGTCCCAACCCTCTGCTGAAAAAAAAGTTATCCACCTCTAGTTTTTAACATGTTTTGCCTGTACTTAAAACCATACACTATATGTGGTTCTGCTGAAAAGTTATATCAAAAAGTACAAACCTTGGAGTTGGAAAGTGAGATATTGTAAAGATTCCTGAATTTGAAGTAGTAGGCTGAAAAAGATAAATTAAATAAATAAATAAAAGGTCATGCTTATGTTTAAAAAGATAATGGTAAAGGTTTCCCCTGTCCAGTCATGTGTGATTCTAGTGGGTGGTGCTCATCTGTTTCTTAGCTCAGTAATCCCCAACCTTTGGGGCACCAGGGTCTGATTCCATGGACCAGAGGAGGCATGGTTTCTCCCTCCTGCATCCCATGAATGGGGCTTCGGTTGTTTGCGTGGCCCAGTTTCTGGCATGCTGTGGGCTGGTGCTAGTCCACAGACCAGGCGTTGCGGACTCCTGTCTTATCCAAGGGAACCAGCATTGTCCAAATCCACTTCTGCAGTCATGTGACCAGCATGACTATACACTGAAGCGCACAGAACTCTGTTACCTTACCACCAAATTGGTATCTATTTGTCTAGTCACATTTGCATGCTTTCAAACTGCTAGTTGGGCAGAAGCTGCAGCAAGGAATAGAAGCTTACCACATTGCGTGGCACTTGGATCTCGAACCTGGACTGCCAGTTTTCCAGTTGACAAGATCAGTGTTTTTAACTGCTGACCCACTGCTCCCTATGCTTATGCTTACAATCCAGCAAAATACTGTTGTTCTAAATTCTGCAAACTGAATTTCTGAATAAAAAATAATTAACTGAAAGAAAAAAGTGCTCAGCTGATATTTTGTACTAAAAGACTCTTATTAGTGGAAATTACTTAAATGTAGACATTATAATTGAAAGTACATTCTTACCCGCCTTCTATTTTTTTCCTCTTGTGGATTTGGTTCACTTGGAGTATTATTCTGGTGTGCAGGTAGCGGTCTTCTTTGCTGTGCATTTTCAGCCCTTAAAGAACAATTTAAGCAAACAGTTAGAAATTATATAAACATAAATGCCCATCTTGCAGTATCCCCAGATCAACAGACATAGCTAAAAACCAAAAAGAAAAAAAAAAGTTTTGTTAAAAGCCACTGTGGATGCAGAGAGAGTGTATAACAATATTGAAAGGAGGACAATCACTGCTAACACACATAGAGGTGTATTTATTCACAATAACAGGGAAATAGGTTTTTGCTAATCAACCATTCCTGCTTGAAAAATACTACATACTCAAAATAAGGTGTATGGCAAAGGGCATAGAGGATGTATATAACCTATCAAACAAAAAAAGTATTTGCTTGCGTGTAAATGTTATTTTTCCCTGGAAACAAAAATATATATATATGGGATGACAGAAATGAAGCAATTCAAAGCATTTTTCAGCTGTTGGCTGGTTTCAGTTTAATTGGCAATAATGGATTAAGTTCATTCCACAACCATCTACCAGGCTTGAGTTTGATTCTGGTACGGTTTTAGAACATTATAATTTTTAAGTTCCTATGTTCAGTGTTGGCTTCGGGTTTTTTTAAATTATGAAGTCAGGAATTTCCCAGCTAGTAAATGTGGAAGTAGATAACTAGATAATACTCTTTTACAGTGATTCAGACAAACAGATTAAGAAAAGAACCATAATGATGATGATAAACTAGAAACAAAACCTCGAAAGATCAAAGAAGCTGGAATGTTTAGTTTTTGGAAAAGGTAACTGAGGAAAGGTATGATAACACTCTTCCAATCTTGAAAGCTGTAATGTGGAAGAAGGGCCCCAGAGTGAATTTTTTCTATTGCCCCAGAGTGAACATCATTGATTACAGTAAAGCAAATCCCAACTGAATGTCAGAAAAAAACAACTTGAACTACTTGAATATGGAAAGTACTAAGAGGGTTGGTAGGCCCCTTTTCAGTGGCTAGACAGCCATTGAATTGGAAATTGAAAAATGTTTAGACTGAGTTTCCTTCACCGACTAGGCTAGTAGTGGGAGTAGATTTAGTGCCCTAAATGACTTTTCCCAAAATGATGATTCTGCCTCAGGAGTACCTTACTTAGTTGATTTTCATATAAAGTAAGGGGTGTAGCCTAGCTAGTCTAGGATTGAAAAATCAAAATGGATGAAGGAAAAGCAAAGCAAAGAGCTACTTTAGTAGGAAGCACTGCCAATACCTAAAACAGTGGCTCTCAACCTTTTCTTCACCATAGACAACACCCCCTTTAAAAAAACTCTTTTGTGGCCATAAACCATGCCCCTGGACCCCCAAGACTTAACTCTAAATTTAAATCATAACATTTCTTCAAGCTTTTGTGGATCGCCTATGATGACAGCGGCCCATCCCAGGGGTCTATGGACCACAGGTTGAGAACCAACTGGCCTAAAATATTATCTGATTTTTAAAAAATCAGAAAATATATTTTTCTACTGAAATGATCAGTTTGTATTAGAGGAATCATAATTTGTAGAATCAGTAACAAAACCAGGATCTGAGAAATACTAACCATTCTTAGAGAATTACCCAATCTAGGCAGTGTCTTCTATTGATGCTGGCTCTATGACTAGCATTATGAGGAATAACTTCCTAATATTTTCTAAGGCATTTTTTTTTAAAAAAAATGAAAAGCCAAAATATTACATTGTAAGTTACAGATGGGTAATGAATTGTCTGAATATCATAGAGTTAAGGTTTAGGAAAATAATATCCTTTCCTTGTCTCTTATATGGACGAAGTGTAATTTAAACCCTTAAACAGAACTTGCTTCTTCAAGCTTGCCAATAAAACCTAGATAAAAATCATGAAAAGGATATTATTTTTCTAGATTTCTGTCTGCTTTTTCAAGCTTCATTCCAAACATTCCTAAAAACCTCTATAAATCTTGTCCCCATTGTCATATATAGCTAATCATATAAGGGTATCATTTCAAAAGGCTTCAACCTTTTTATATTTTATTTAATATTTATTTCATATGTTCATAGAATTCAGTAAAGCTTGCTTCTGAATGGCTTGCACCACAACATTTAGTTTGTCTTTTAAGATAACTAGGCCAACAAATTATGTTTCTAATTTGAATTTTTGACTTAACCTTGCATAGATATGTTCTGTTCTCAATATCCTCAATTGCATAAATGTTGTACCTGTGTTGTCTTCTACGTTCTCTGAAGAGACGCCTTTTAATTTCTTTTCTCTTGACAAATGCAATTGCAAGTAGAATTAATATAGGCAACACAAGTAAAAAGAATATCAGAAGACCATCTCGAAGGGACGTATCTAAGAAAGAAAATAAGCATTGTACGCTGATTTAAATGTAGAATTTGGACAATGGGGCTATAAGAAGGAAGGTTTGATTTCTCACCAAGATAAATTATGCATTTTTTGATAATTTTCTTTACTAAATAGATGAAAAAGTATAATATTTTGACCCTTTTGTTTAATTTTTCTAGTTTTAGGACTTATGCAATAGAACAGATCATGTTTTAGGTCATATTTAAGCAGCAATATCCCAAAGGTGCTTTTTCAAGAGGTAACTGGACTTTCTGGTTTTTCTTTGAATTCAGAGAAAAACCAGAAAGTCCAGTTGCCTCTTGAAAAAGCACCTTTGGGACAACTATGACCTGGATGACTGAAAATCTCCATAGACATTGAGCAGCAATATTGAAAATTCAAAACTGTTGGCAAACATTTAAGCACCACTATATATATATAAAATTTCCAAGAAAGGAGAAGCTCATCTTCCAAAAATAAAAGACCCAAACTTTTAAAATGGACATATGCTAATTTACACCTATAGATTCAGATTTAAAGATAATTATTTTCCATAGAAATAAAATCCACCAAACTAGAGTAGCAAAGGCTATGCTGACTTTTGTTCTTAGTTTTCATTTTTAAACTAGAATTTTTTTTTGGACAGTTATTCAATTAAGTGACAGTTATTCACTTTAAGATGAAAGTGACTTTTGCCAAATAAGACATAAAGCTACCTTAACAGGTAGCAACATTAACCAATGTTCTAAAGTGACTAACATCAGTTGAAAGGTAAGAAAGAGGAATGGTTCTTGATACCTATATGTGTTGGGCCACTATCTATGCTGCCCCCATAGCCAGACACGTCACAAAAAGGAGGTGCCCACCCAGGATCACAGTGGCAATTGCCTTTGTTGTTACACACCTACAGGAACAAACAAAAAAAAAGAAACAAAATGATGAAATTACAATTTTTAAATAGGTTATAGAAATTACAATATCGTAATATTAGAGTTAGGGTGTTACGTTTCTCCCCCAAACAAGTGTGCAAGAATCCATGCACATCTCTTAAGGAATTTAATTGTAGAAGAATTCAAATGCCATTATAAAAGAATTCTATTAACAGCTGAATATCAAAAGTGAGATCTATGTAATAATGAACACATTGTTCCATGGTTTCTCCCGCCTGTGCTATGCAATGTATCATATTGACTTCTCTTTTGGATGGGAAGTAATGGTGTGGTATGCAGATCAATATTTAACAACCAGCTCTGTTGGCTCCGTTAATACATATTGATTTTACAGAAGACATTGTTGAAAAAGCACTGCACAATCTAAAACCATCTCTATCTATTGGGCTGGATGGAATATGTGCCTACTTCTTTAAAAAGCTATCCACTGCCATAGCAGAACCTCTAAGCATAATCTTTGAAAAATCTTTCAGAACCAGCTCCTTGCCAAAACTATGGTCACAAGCCACAGTCATCCCCATCTTCAAAAAGGGAGACCCCAGCCTAGTTGAAAATTACAGACCAATCTCTTTATGCTGCATCATGGAATCAATTATTAACCAATCCATCATGCTCCACTTAGAAACAAACAACCTACTCTCTAATAAACAATTTGGTTTCAGGAAAAAACTATCATGTAATCTGCAACTCTTACACCGCAAAAACATATGGACTACACAACTCGATCAGGGCAAAGCAATAGACGCAATCTACATAGACTTCTGTAAAGTCTTTGATTCAGTGGTACACGACAAACTACTCCTAAAATTAAAATCTTACGGTATCTCTGGACACCTGCATAACTGGATAGAAGCATTTCTCTTAAACAGACAACGAATGGTCAAAATTGGGAGCGTCCTATCAAATTCTGTACCTGTCAACAGTGGTGTCCCCCAAGGCAGTGTTCTAGGACCAACTCTCTTCATACTCTACATAAATGACCTCTGTGATCATATTAAGAACAACTGCATTCTCTTCGCTGATGATGTAAAGCTATTCAACACCACAGACAATACTGCTACCCTTCAAAAAGACCTTGACTCTGTATCAGAATGGTCAAATAAATGGCAACTTCAAATCTCAACGAATAAATGCTCTGTCCTACATATTGGCAAAAAAAAATCAGAAAATAAAATACAGGCTGAACAGTCAAGACCTTGTTGATGATCCAAACTCTGTCAAGGATCTTGGAGTACTCATCTCAAATGACCTAAGTGCTAGAGCCCACTGTAACTACATAGCCAAAAAGGCGTTAAGAGTTGTTAACCTAATCTTACGTAGTTTTTTCTCTGGTAATATTACACCAATAACTAGAGCATACAAAACATTTGCTAGACCAATACTCGAATACAGCTCATCAGTCTGGAACCCACATTACATATCTGATATTAACACAGTTGAGAAAGTCCAGAAATATTTCACAAGAGTCCTCCACTCCTCTACTTCTTGCAGAATACCTTATGCCACCAGACTCGAAATTCTAGACCTAGAAAACGTAGAACTACTCCGCCTTCGGGCCAATCTAAGTATAGTTTATAAAAACATACACTGCAATGTCCTACCTGTCAATGAATACTTCAGCTTCAACCATAACAACACTAGAGCAAACAATAGATACAAACTCAAGGTTAATCGCACCAAACTTGATTGCAGGAAATACAACTTCAGCAACAGAGTGGTCAATGTCTGGAATACTCTATCTGACTCTGTGGTTTTTTCCCCAAAAACTTTAATCTTAGACTGTCTACTATTGACCTCACCCCTTTCCTAAGAGGTCTGTAGGGGGCGTGCATAAGTGCACCAATGTCTCTGTCCTATTGTTTCTTTTATATATTTTTTAATTTTTCTTATATGTATCCATGTATTCATAACTATGTTTTTACTTATACCTATTATCTTGTAAGCAATTGACAAATAAAAATAAATAAATAAAATAAATAAATAAAACAGTGTTGGCAGTGCTACACCAATGGCTTCCAAAGAGGTGATTGGGCTGGCATTGGAGATATCCTTTCCTCTCAACTTCTTCTTCTTCTTTTTCTTCAGTGTTTGTCTCGCGCTCTGGCGAGGTCCGCTAATGTCCTTGAGTACTGCTTCCACGCCTCTCTGTCCTTTCCTCTCAACTAGTTTGCAAAATTCCGGGAAATGTAATGATCACCTGTAATAAGTCAATATGAACCACCTCCAGCAAACCACTGATGGGACCTACTGTTTTCCATCCATCTATTATTTTGTTAGACACTAAAGAACATATCAATAATTCCCATAATGTCACAGGAAAACAAAAACAATTGTTTTCCTATGACAATCTGGTAATTAATTTTCTGACCCGCCTCCCGAACATGACCAGCATGCTGTTTTTAACTAAACGTTCCCTTTATTAGGAGTGCCAGTAACCCAAGCAAAGAGTCTCTCTCTCTCTCTCTCTCACACACACACAGCAGGCTAACAAAATCTCTAAGTGCCTTTGGAAAGCGAAGCTTGCTCCCTTTCCCCCTGAAATGGTTCCAACACACCAAGAGAGTCTCTCTCTCTCTGACTGACAGAAAGACAAATAGTTGTCTGCCACACCTATTTATCTCCGCCCCCTGCCTTTTATCCCCAGAGCTAGGGTGGGGCTTAGCTAGCACGGTGGCTCTTCCATAGATTCCTGATGCTCTCCTCTCCCCTGCCTTCTGCGCATCTATGTTTCAGGCATGGAACCCAGCTGTTCCTCCTCTTCCTCATCATCCACCTCTGGACCTGGGGGCTGTTGACTCCACATTTGGGGGCTGATGGACAGCCCAGGCTCCGCCTCTGTCTCTGACAGCTCCATTCCCTCTTCCCCCTCAGAGCTCTCAGATTGCCTTGATGCCCAACTTCCACTCTACCTTCTCATCTTATTTGGCTGCTAGAGGGGCCGGCGGCCGACAGGCCACAACATGTGGTTCATTTCTTGTATGATTAGCTTTCCTATTATTTCTGAGCTTGGCAAATTTAACTTGATGGAAAATAAGTATTTATTTCTTTGAGGAGGGGAAAAAAAGCAGAATTTCCACATTTTAACTTGCTTTGGGCATCCAAAGGGAGGGAAAGGGAAACAAATGGCAAATCATGTATTGAACATTTTCATGCATACTCATCTCGTTTGTACTTGTACTATGTTTGCATATTGAATGCAAACCTGTAAGAAGTGGGGCTTGAGTTATGATGACACAACATAGTTTTTTTTCATTTGACAAAACCTCTAGGTGTTATATATGCCTATGTTTCTTGAAATGCAAAACGTTTTCTTAAATAAGATGCTGGCCAAAAAAAACAACCACCTGTGATCTACATATATGTTCTCTAGATGAGGTAATACTTGGGTTGTGGTATAATGTCCCATAAATAAATGGGTAGAAATGCTACAAAGAACTACCATAACACTGTTGTACTCCAACCCTATTTGACCCTAATAGTGTACTACAGGTAATCCTCGACTTACAACAGTTTATTTAATGACTATTCAACAGCACTGAAAAAAGTGATTTATGGTAGTTTTTTTTACAGTTTGTGACCACTGCAACATCCCGATAGTCAAGCGATCAAAATTTAGACCCTTCGCACCTGGTTCATATTTATGACCATTGCTGTGTCTCAAGGTCACGTGATTCCCTTTTGCAACCTTTCGACAAGCAAAATCAATGGGGAAGCCAGATTTACTTAACAGTTGTGTGACTAACTTAACAACTGCAGTGATTCACCTAACAACTATGGCAAGAAAGGTTGTAAAATGGAACAAAACGCATTTAAAAACTGCCTCACTTCACATAAATTTTGGGCTCAATTATGGTCATAATTCGAGGACTATCTGTACTATATGCCAAGATACTTATTTATATAATTTTGTCTCATCCTGAACAATATCATCATCATAATATTTTAACTTACCGCCCGGCCATTACATTTTTTCTTTATGTCACAGTTGTAACCCAGCAAGCTTGCATTTACGCACTTGTAATCAACACAAGCCTAAAAAGGAGGGGAAAATAATTGTTTTTTTAGTATGGTCTTTGAAAGCATGTTTTATCTGCAAATGCACAAAGGTATCAAGAAGAGACTGTCATCGGGTTCAAGAGTAACTCTAAACCAAATTTAGCATGATGGTCTTCCCCAAGATGGATAGTGACCTAATCTTGAATTGTAGCCTCTTAAAGAACATGGCCAAAAAAGATGGACAAATCTAAGCCTAAAATGATGCTGCTGGAAATGGGAGCAAAGTGAATTTTGTGTCTCTGTTTCATGCAACAATACAATTTGTCTGGGTTCAACTTGATACAAGTATGAATCTAGACCTGTGATGGCGAACCTATGGCACGCGTGCCACAAGTGGCATGCAGAGCCATTTGTGCTGGCACGCGAGCTGCAGGCAAACTTACCTCACTGCGCATGCGCGTGCCTCACAACTGATTTTTTTTCCGGTTGGCTTGAGGCCTTTTTCGGTCTCCCAGAGGCTGGGAAATGCCTCTGCAAGGCTTTTCAGGATGATGGCCTGTTTCGTCACTTCCTGTAATACTGGAAGTGATAAAACGGGCCTATAATTCGGCCTGAAAAGCCTTGCAGGGGCTTTTCCAAGCATCTGGGAGGCCAAAAAAGGCCTCAAACCAGCTGAAAAAATCAGCTGTGAGTCACAGTGCAGGTAAGGGGGTGGGGGGGGACCGTGCGCACATGCACAGGGAGTGTGGGGATGGGGTGCGCATTGCATTCTGGGTGCTGGCACGCAAGTGCATGCGTGCTGATGCGTGTGCAATTTTTTGCACAGGAGCCCAAAAAGGTTAGCCACCACTGATCTAGACACTATGATTTGGAACTTACAGCTTACAGTTTAAAATTAAGCATGGATCAAGTCCCAAATGATGTAATATAGGTTCTTTTAAGTTTCATCTGTTGAAACAAAGTAAGTGTAATTGGCAGTATTCCCAACACAACACAGTGATGACAAATGATGCCCCGTGCACAATAATGTCAGCATGCAAATACAATTATATACTTGTGTCAATCTACAATTAAACTTGCAATGTTTCCATGATTACATCATTATGCAAATGTCATTTACATGTGTCTTTTGTCCTATCTATTAGTGTAATATTATACTATAGAGATAGTTTACAAACAACACTGGATAGTTTTGCACAACATAGTGAACAGGCAACCTACAATGAATAAGATGTAAACAGTCCCTCAGCCTCCAAAATCATATGGGCAGGATTACAAATTCCAGAGGTAATTCTTTGTTCATCTTTTTTGTGAGATATTAAAATATGGGTCTAAGTCTTCCAGAGGCTGAATGCTAATGTGTCATTAAAAACTGATTGATTGATTTAATTAATTAATGAAATCTCCCCAATTTCCAATAATTGGGCTTCTTCTATCGAGGTAATGATTTTAATATACTTTTGCCTGAAATCCAAATATTTTAGCCCCAACCTTTTTGAAAGTGTAACTATGTTGCTAATGTGCTTATTACATCTCCCAGCTGGGAAGGAAGAAATAATATGACTCTTCAACTGGAAAAGTTTCCTGAACTCTGTTATCTATTATTTTATATTAAATAATAATGTGGCTTTCTGATTTTGGCTTAGCATATAGAAAATACTCAACCGCTATTGCATATAATCATGATTTATGCTTAGGAGTAACAAATTAACATAACAAACCATGACTCGGTGCCGAGTGCAAACTCAGCCAGTGATTTGTTCAATAAGCAAGTGAGATCCACATAGATGCAGAAAACTCTTACTTTTCCTTCAGCACAAGAAGTGCCTTTATGAACCAGTGCTGGATCAGGAATATCTGATCCTAGATCAAATTCAGTAGTCACACATTTAATTCCATCTTGATTCTGGAAATACAACTGGGGCGGGAGATTCTCTTCTTTGAAAGATGTACAATGAATCTTGCCACATAAACTGTTGCTGCAAATAGTAATTATATTAATTATTATAATACATATACATAGTAAGGAATAGTGAAGCAGTATGATAAATAAAAAATGTTATCCTTCTCTGGAGTTTTTCCCCCCCTCCTTTGCTGGTACTTTGCTTGTGTGGAGTGATCATTCAAAGTTACAATAGCACTGAAAAAAGTGACTTATGACCATTTTTCACACTTACAACTGTTGCAGTATCCCCACAGTCCTGAGAGGCTAGGCGAGGAGATGCGTGCCTCGATGTGAGTGATGTTGAGTTGGCCACACCCAGCCAGTCACATGACCACCAAGCCACACCCACCAACTAAGCCATGCCCAAAGAACTGATTGTTAAAAAATTTGAATCCCACCCTGGGTTTGAATGATCTGAACAACTTTGAACGGTCACTAAATGAACTGTTGTAAATCAAGGACTATCTCTAATAGGAAATTTTGTCTTAGTGAAGTAGGCTGTTGGTATGCTTCTTTAGAAGGAAAAGGAAGAAAGAGTGCAGAGCTGTGACTCTGAATCATGTTGCCTATTATCTAAATAAGAATAGTCAGTTCAATGAGACTTAATCCCTAACTGAGTCTGCATAGAGTCATATAGTCTGAATGTGCGTTCAGAATATAAAATATTTTTTCTGATTACTTACGCTTGGGAACATTTTACAAAATTTGGCCCATTCATTCCACAATTGCCAAATCTGTCTCCTTTGCTATTGGCTCTTTCAAAGCAAACATTTGGTCCTCTTTTTGCTCCTACAAAATAAATGAAAGTTCATTATTCTACGTCGAGGATAATTCTGACACAAACAATGGATCCCTACATCCTCTTGGCATCCCTGTAGCACATAAACTAACAAAATCCCCACAAAAATCTCTTAAGCAAACCGAAAGATGGCACAAACAACAAAAGTTGACTGAATAATCAACAACGTGCAGTGTAAAGATGGGAACACACATTATTTAAGATAGACAGGTAGAAAATAGGCAGAATGCTTCCAGGAATATAAACTGGCAGGTAGAAGGCATGACAAAAATTCTTTAATCTCTCCACACGGAAAAACTCAACCACAGTTTCAACCGTGAATTGGCAACATTTTAGATCAAGCCAAATGCAAAAATTCCTGGAATTGGCATTTTGAGAAACCATCCACTAGCACACATAGAAATAACTCATCTATGAACCACAGTGTCGGACTCTACAGTTCTCGGCAGAGTGCAACACACAGCTAGTTCTTGACTTAGGACCACAATGGAGCCCACATTTTTTTGTTGCTAAGGGAGACAGTTGTTAAGTTAATTTTGCCCTATTTTACGACCTTCCTTATCACTGTTGTTAAGTGTTAAGTTGTTATGTTATTAACATAGTTGTTAAGTGAATCTGGCTTTCCCATAAAGTCAATGGGGAGAAAGTCCGCAAAAGGTGATCACATGACCCCGGTAACCTGCAACCATCATAAATATGAAGAAGTTGCCAACCATACAAATTTTGATCACGTGACCAGGGTGACACTGCAAAGTCTGAAAATTGGTCTTAAGTCACTTTTTTCAGTGCTGTTGTAACTCTGACTGTCACTAAATGAATGGTTGTAAGTTGAGGAATACCTGTGTTCAAAGGACTTAACTAAAAGTTAAGGAAGGAAGGAAACATCCTATCTAGCAACCAACACCCAAACAAGCAGGAAACAACACCAGATAAACAATGGGGGAAGAACGATATCCTAACTAAAAGCTATCAAGAAAGTAGCCACACCCCAACCAAGACTGACAGTATATATAAACAACTACCAAACCCCACCCTCCCACATACTGATGATATTACTTAGTCTGGTGGCAAAACATCTATAGGAAAGCAACCAAGCTTGTAGAACACCAAGAATTCAAATAGATCAACCCCAAGTTACATACATTCTTTACCATTGGAATAAAAAAACATTTCAAAATAATAAACATTTACATTCCAATATATGAATATTTTCTATATAACACCTGCCAGTTTAATTATCGGTTGTATCAATCACAAATGATTCAAACCATACCTTTTCCAAAGAAGGATTCACACTGAGAATCGTAACTCTCACAAATTCCACTGTAACAGTAATCTTTCATATTATTACATGGGTAGCCATCCATGACATACACATCTTCTGGACAGTCATAATAGGTCCCATTGCAATATTCAGGGAGATCACAGGTATTTGATTTGGGTCGACACTCCACTCCTGCTACCTTGAACTTGAAAACACAGTTTTATTGGTTTTATTGGTTTCTAATTGTAACACATTGACAGCATTCATATCTCTTTAATGATATGGGAGGAGGAGAAAGAGACTTGTGAAAAGGAAAGAGAGATTGGAATGGTTCCTTGGCCAAACTGCTGGAACGGTATGTCACTGATCACATTATTAATTGTATAGGCAACAAAACAAAACCCAAAGCAAAGCCACAAGACATGTTTCAGTCATATGCTATCATCTTGCACCTAACAGCCAATATTTATTGCCTGTATGAGTACAGCCTCATAGCTGCACTGAAATACAAATGTATCAGTCCTTCAACTAGCAGAATTACACTATTCTCATTGCTGATCTGTACGGTACCTCAGTACCAAAGTCAGCTGGTGGAAATGTCCTTATTTGAACATGGAACAGCAACTGGTGGATTTCTGCAGCTTAGTTTTCTCTCTCACTAAATATATTTGCCAGCTTAGTCTCCCCAGATGACGCTAGATAAATCATTGGCATAATAGGACTACTGTAAAGGAGTCTTCCTTTGGGAGAAAGGAAGGATAGGAAGGAAGGAAGGAAGGAAGGAAGGAAGGAAGGAATTCAGACCACACAATTGCAAGTAAGGTATAGGATCTGGGAGAGAAGGTTACAGTCCAAGAAGCAAGTAGGATAATTCCAGCTAGCGCTAGAGGTGTACACACAATCATTCCTTTTCTCCATTCTCTCCCTCCCTCCTCCTTTCACCTTCTGAGAATGTAAATAATTTACTAGAAAACTAGAATGTATACATGTAGGCATTCAAAGTGAACTTTTCATTAAAATAAACCCAAAGCAGCCAGCTAATTTTTATATGCTTAATTTATACTGCTGCCCAACTCAACTAAGTAACTCTGGGCGGCAACTAATCCTTGTTATGTGACATACACACATACACAGTTCTAAGAAAATACATTTGTGTTCTCCAGAATCGTCTACTTTTTTGCATTCTTTTGTCACCAAATATGATCCGAGCTTCAGGTAGACCTTGGTGATATATACAGTATAAGGAATTTGAATGAACAAACATCAATGTTTGGTGCCCGTTTCATCTGTTTTATTTAAAAGGTCATCCCATATGCCACACAATAGAAGACCCATCCTTTTTGCATCAAAGCATTAAGGCTTTGATGGTGTAATCACGGATGCCACCCTGAATTTTTTTAATGTTCATGTAGAGTAATAAAATGTTACTGTGCACATAAACACATGCATACAATATTGACAAACGATAATGAATTTAAAACACACCTTACACACTAAACACACTAACTCTGCAATTCTATGTATATATAAATGTTGGGGTACACCTACTGAACATAATGGGGTTTAATACAAAACATGCAAGCACGGGAATGTACTCCACATCTACACAAAGGACAATCTATTTTACCTGGCACTTTTCACAGCACAATCCTTCAGCACATGCTGATCCACTTGTTAGCTTGCAGCTGGCAGCATCACAGCAAGGATTGGTACATTCCTGTTAAGAAAATGACCTTGGTTTGATATCCCATGGTCAATTGTTCAAAAAAACTTCCATTGGACTCAATAAGATCAATATTCTCACTACTGGGATGTGACTAAAAGAGTTTTAAGAAACATTTCACAGTACTTTGCTTTTTAATTGAATTTTTTTTAAAGCACCAATTTATACGTGATGAAATCAATGTTTTATAAACACCTGAACAAAACGTGCTTGATGGCAAGGAACTTTCTTTTTCTAATGTGATTACTACAAAATTTTATTTCATTTATCATTAAGGAATGATTTTATAGAGAACAGAAAACATCATGAACATGGGGCAGAAATCAGTGACAGTCTCCATGTTCTTCACCAGCAAAGCTAAACAGAACAGAAACTTTTTGTCAATTTACAGTACTCTTATTTTCAAAAATTGCATTATTGTTGCATTAGGCCAGTTTCAAGGTAGCACTGAGGAACAAAATATAGCAATGAGCGTTATATTACTTCACTTTCTATTTCAAAAAGCTGTGATGGGACACAAATGAAACATCTATCTACATGTCTTTAAAGCAACTGTATCTTTTCCTGGTTTCTAAAAATGATGGATGAGCATGTGGATCCAGAAAAAGACACAGCTGTGCTAAAGTGTTATAGAAAAAATCTGTGTAGGGTTAGCCCTAACCCTAACCCTCACTTAGCATTTTAAAACAGAATCTGGAACACTGCATTGCACTAGTATTGGTGTATGTGTATATGTATAATTCTAGCATATCAATATTTTAAAATATAAATACAAATTACCTACTTTTGGAGTGCCACAATCGCATTCTTCATTCCTATCCACGATGTTATTGCCACACATGGGTTCTGTAAATATATCACTCGGCTTGGGAGAGTTTCTGAGACAGCTTCCTCCACCTCTCAAGATAAGTTGCTCAAAATCAGTAGCGCTGCAGCTGCTGAAGTTCCTGGACCCACTAGAAAGAACGATTTTTCCAGGGTATGGAGTAATAAATTTCCCATTTTGCGCCTACATTTTAATGAGTTACATTTCTACAATTATACTATACTTCATCGTAACACTAAAGCAGTGTTCCCCCCCCCCACCCTCCCTCAAAATAAGCCTGTTTCTGACTCTGAGAATTACATGATAATTGTGAGCCAGAAACTGGCCAATTGTTGAAATGGGGAAATATACAAAAACTGCACTGTAATTCCTTTAATAGGCTTGTCATAATTGAAAAAAGAAAACTTCCAAATCTGCACCCCAGCCAATTTTGAAAAGCCTAACTGTCTCCACCCAGTTGATCCCTTGATTTTCCTTTAAAATGTTAGGCCAGCTTCATAACTTGCAAAATGTGTCTCAGATCGATGAATCACAATGAAAGCTATGACTTCATTTTTTCCACTGGCAGCATTTCTTATACATGACTTGGCGCCACGAATGTGTAAACTAAACTCAGCATCCATGAACAGTCTTCAAGGGTGGGGAATCTCCATCCATTATTTCTCTGACATCTATCTCTAGGGTAAAGATTCCGACTATGATTGTTTTCTGTCATTCAGAAGCTTTCTCTCAGTTCAAGATTTTTAAGTGAACTGTTCCATATGGAATTTGTTTCTTAAGTCTATCCTAATTTATCCACTTCTACCCAGTTCATTCTCCAGAGAAACAACAGCTCGTTGTTGCCTCTTGAACCATTCAAGAAAAGTTTAAGGAGTGCTGAAATTGTTTTCTTTTCTTTTGATCGATGCAACTGGCTGGGGTCCATGGGATTTGACAAGTATTTTGGATGCTTAAAGTCCTTGTCAAAGTCTTTACCTTCTTCAGGAATGAAAATAGCTTATAAACAGAATGATTATTAGCATGTACACGTAGTCCTCAACTTATTTGTTTGTTTGGTGACTGTTCAAAGTTACAACAGCACTGAAAAAGTGACTTATGACCATTTTTCATGGTTACGACCGTTGGAGCATCCTCATGGTTATGTGATCAAAATTCAGATACTTGGCAACTGACTCATATTTATGACGGTTGCAGTATTCCTGGAGTCGTGTGATTACCTTTTGTAACCTTCCAACAAGCAAAGTCAAAAGGAAAATCAGATTCAATTAATAACAGAGTTACTAACTTAACAATTGTGGCAAGGTTGTAAAATGAGGCAAAAGTCACTTAACAACTGTCTTGCTTAACCACAGAAATTTTGGGTTCAATTGTGGTCATAAGTTGAGGACTACCTATGATGCTAATCTACATGCATGCAACCTGACAAATGTCTGGATTGCTGTGAACTCTTTGGACTGAACTCCTTTTACAGTCTTTGTTAGATTAATATTCCAGCTTTACTCCAAGAGCTTAAAGCACGGGTGTCAAATTCGTGGCATCATGTTGCTATCATATGACGTTTCACGATGTTTTTTTCCCTTTCGTGGAGCTGGGGTGGGCGTGGCCTATGCATAACGCATTCAGACTGCAGACCGCCAGTCATATGTATTTCCCTTCTCCAGTTTTATCCCACAACAACTGCTCTGTGAAGATACTGGACTGAGAGAAACCAGATCAAATCATTAAGGGGATTGTATGAATATGCTTTGACTTGACCCTGAGTCTCTTCAATTATAGTCCAAGACCTTAACCTTATACCACATCAGATCCAGGATAGGTAATTATCTGTGTTTTTTTAATTTTCCTTTTTATTTAAATGAAATGATTTCTGTATTCTACTCCAAACATTGTTCAGGCCTATTACACTTCTATTTTAAGTTATTCCTTGTATCTTTTCCTTGTCCTCTAGTCAACACCTGACTTTTCCTTGCCTCTTCACTTCTCTACTAATGTAGCTATGTGTCGATCACCTACGTTTAATTAACCAACTTTTCCATTAAAGGAAAGCTGTATATAAATAGATAAAACATATAATTTTAGCCTCCATCGGTTTCTGTTCATTAAATTTAGCATAACTGAAAACATAAACACCCTGTCTATAATGTGACTCTAGATTCAAAAGCTGTTTCATAGAACAAAGATTTTGTGTTCTCATCAACTATATGTGCCTACTTTTAAATGCACAAGTATCAGTGTTTGAAAATATATAGTAATAAAATATTACTGAAAATAGCCTACTAATACAGAACACTGTTCAGCATATAACTCAGCAGTCCTTGATTTTCAAAGAATATTGAATGCTTGAAATTATAATAGTTTGCAATGACCAATATTTTTATTAAAGCTAGTATCTATAACATGTTTGTTTCTGACATCACTGAGCTAAATGCTCTAACATTGTATCTCCATTGGACTGCAATGCTTGATCCTAAACTCTCTAATTCAGGAGTTCTTAAACTTTTCTATACCCCGCACTCCTAACACTTCTGATATATCTCGCACCCCTTACAAAAGTAAATCATTATATGCACATAATTATGCATATACACTATAATTTTGAAACTTTTAAACCCAATTTTTCATACCCCATGGAATATTATCTTGCACCCCCACAGGGCGCGAGCACCCCTGTTGGTAACCCCTGCTTGATCAAACACCAACAAAGATTTGGCATGTTAAACTTGATACACAGCATAAATATAATTTTTTAAAAAGCATATATATATATATATATGTTTTCTGAGGTTTGTTTTCTGAGGTTATTATATATATATAAAAATAATGTTAAGCAAATGTGCTTACTTATCTGAACTGTGCATTATATAGTTATTTGAACATCTTCCATCATCATGATTCATACCGAGATTATGTCCCAACTCATGTGCAACCACTGTAGCGTGACTTATGGGAGACTCATGACCGAACTGGCAGAAATATCAGCATTATTAGCACAGGAAGTGGTGGGGAACGATTCTTTTTTTAAACAAGAAAAACAGCAACAGAATAGAAGAACAGGAAAAAAACAGCTGAGCTAGGCAAATTAAATCAAAATGACATCAGTCATTCTATTTTCCACGATGAACTCCAAGTTCTGATGAGAAGAAGCTCACAATTAGTTGCATTAGTTGCACAATTAGTTGATGTTAGTTGCAGAATTCCATTCCTGCTCAGTTTTGGCACAGAATCACTAAGACCCTCTTTTCAGAACATCTTAGCAGGTGGCAATTATGAAAGTTCACGGTAATGAATTGCATAGTTACGAACATTTTGAAAGATTTTCTCTTTTCCTGCTCTTAATTAGACCACCCATTTTTTTTTTTTAAAAAAAATCTGTTTTAATTTTCGCCCTATTGTATACAATTTTATAAAGCTCAATCATGTTGCCTCTTATCAGCCTTTTGTTTATCATAAAAAGCCTTATTATTTTAAGCTTTCACTGTAGGACAACTGCCTTTGCTCTAACTTTTCTATGTTCCTGGTTGCTAGTATTATACTTTGTAGCTGTTTAGCATGACTTTGTCAATAGGTTCGCAGTCAACACCAGCATAGGCATCTGCTAAGTGCTTCTGCTTTCCACAGATATCTAAACTCAATGTTGAATGTTTACAATCCTGACACAATGTAATATAACAGATGAAAATGTTCTCTATATAAAAGACTCTATGTTTACAACTGAAATGGGATATATTTACCGTAGTGAGAGACCCTGCGTGATCTGCAGTACAGACTGTGCCAACGTAAGCCATTCCAACTGTTGAACCAAATGGGCTTCTCCCTCTGAAATGCAGGAATAGATTAAAGGGAGAGATGGGTTGAGATCCATCTCCAGGTTGAACAATATACACATATTCTTTATTTATAGATATTTTGGTACATACACACACACACACACACAAAGTGTCTCCATTGCTTTCCATATCTTTTCAGATGCTATAGTACAGCGGTGTCAAACTCAAGGCCATGGGCCGGATCCAGGCCATGATGCGGTCAGATCCGGCTGCGGGGCCAATCCTAGAAAATGTAAGGGGGTGGCCTATGTCACTTCGATCTAGTCTACCCGCATCACTTCAACCCAGACTACCTGCATTGCTTCGGCCCCATCTACTTGCGTTACTTTGGCCCATCTACCCAATGTGAAGAGGAAACATCAGGCCAACATGGCTTTGGCCCTATATCTACCGAATGCAAAGAAGAAACATGCCAGTAGTTTGGGGAATGGCATCAAGCTGGCCACACCCCAATGAATGGCATCAAACTGGCCATGCCCCTGTGCCCCTCCACCTCCCCAAGGTCAACCACAGCCTTGATGCGGCCTTCAGTGAAATTGAGATTGACACCCCTGCTATAGTATTTAAACATCCTGAAAAAAAGTTATTTAATTGGATGTGAGATATGTTGGACCCTTGGCCCATTGTTTTAATTTCATTTGATTTTAAGACAGATATAATGTCTTTGGCAGACTGAATATCTTGTATTTTATGTTAATAGCAGATAGATGCAGTATAATTACCCATACTGTATCTTTCCCCATGTCAGATTAATTCTATGCCATGTTGATGATAATTTAATTAATCTGTTGCATGAGAATTTTAAACTTCTTTGTCCTTTATTTATAATATACTATAATGGTGTAAAATATACCATATTCAAAAATTTAAAAATAAAGTTGAAACATATTTTGATTTATGTTCTAAGAAAAATATATTTTCTTAGGCAATTAGCAGCAAAAAAATATTTTTAAATCCTTGCCAATCCCCACAAACATCCACAACCATATCCACAAAAATCTTTCACTAAATGATACTGGGATATAAACTCCTAAAATTACTAGAATATTACAACTGTAGAATTTTCACTTTGTTCTCAACATTCCAATATATCTGTATATATAATATAAAGAAAAATCCTTACATGATGAGATGAGCAATATCATTTCTTGATCTCGTAATAAGATTTGTTTTCCTCCAAGCCACAAATTTGTTCAACACATCTCCAGCTGAATCACCACCCACCTCTATCTGGTTTCCACTTGTCCATATTTCCAATCCAATTAGGACAACTTGTATGTTTAAGGGTCTGAACATCTGTAAATATACAGTTGATTGCCATTATGTAGGTTTCAGTAAATTTAGATAATTTCTTCCAAACTGTTCCATCTCTGCAAACCCTCTTTGCAATATGCCATGCAAATAAGTATTTATAGTTAGCCAATAAATGTGAATCAGCACACTATGTTTACATGTTGAACTCATAGTCCACTTTACCTATGAGTTAAAAGGCAAACTATAATTGACATAATACACCACAAAAAGGCATAGTTTACAAGTTCCAAGGTTGTGATTTGCGAACCTGGTTACTTAAGAATATTGAGTTTGTTTGAACGGATTCCACAACATGCACACATATGCCCCCACTGAGGCTTTGTTGTAGGTAATTCCTGCTAACGCATACAAACACTTCTCCAAAATTATTACTCTTAATATGAATTATGCTGTTTATGAGTTGAACAGCTATATTCATTTCAAGGACAAGCAAAACAACTAATGCAATAAACAAACATTTTAATCCAAAAGTTCCTGTCTCCTAAAGTTTACTAGTTATCTTCTCCCAAACCATTTGAGATAAAGGGGTAAGGTTCGTAGCATGAGGAATCTTTGTGCAATCATGTAAGGCAAGCTAGAAAAATTTTCCTACAGCAGACTGATTTGTATAAGAATTGTATGACTTCAAAAAAAAGGATTGAATAAAGATAGCAAGTTCTGATCTCTGGAATGGGATAGTAATACTTACAGAAAAGGTCCCATGTATCCATCATTATCCAATTATGCAAGGAAGGTGACATTTTATAGGCTGTTGAGGTGAACTTCTCTTGATAAGCTGCTACTCTCCATATATTAAAAAGTATAATCACTATTTCCCTAATTGTCCAAATAATTACATTGTTTAACATGCAGTGTTTTTCTAATACCAGGGAAAATGGCAGTCACACAGACTAGAAAAGATTTAGGTTGTAAATCCCAATCAGTTCAGGAAATATAAGATCATTTGAGCCTCAGTGGCACAGTGGTTAGAATGCAGTACTGCAGGCTACTTCTGCTGACTATTGGCTGCCTGCAATTTGGTAGTTCAAATGCCACCAGGCTCAAGGTTGACTCAGCCTTCCATCCTTCCGAGGTGAGTAAAATGAGGATTCAGATTGTTGGGGGCAATCTGCTGACTCTGTAAACCACTTAGAGAGCACTGTAAAGCAGTATATAAGTCTAAGTGTATTGCAATTTACTCTTAAACTTGTTCCCCTTGTTAGTAAGATGAAATGATAATGAAAAAAAATACTTGCCTACTGCAACAACTCTTAACACTTAATTACATATATTTGACATATAATTTTTACATAAACACAATTTAAAATTCCACAAGTATTATTAAATATAAATATTAAAATTCTAAAGACAGCAGTAAGTTTTAAGTTCTGTTCTAAAGAATAACAAGGGCCCTGCCACAATTTATATATATATAGATTCCTTTAATAGATCACAATCTCATTCTTACAAATATATTTGCTTTTGTCTGGTATATATATATATATTGCTGTTGATTTCCATACACACACACACACACACACATATGTGTGTGTGTGTATGTGTATATGTGTACATATGTGTGTGTGTGTGTGTGTGTGTGTGTGTGTGTGTGTGTGTGTGTGTATGTTTTCTTAAGTTTTCACGGGTATTTATATGTATGGTATTCAGCTTTGTTCGGGTATTTTCCCGTGTAAGATTAAGAGTATCCTGGCGATGTTTTGGCGAGGTCCCACTTGCCATCCTCAGGCTGGTGCTTTCGACTTCGTGCCAGTGCAAGCAGTGTGTGTTTGGAGCTGCCGTCTCTCTATAAATACTAGTGGTGGGGGCTGGTGTGCTGGACTGGTTGGCTGTGCTGTTGCCTCTTGATTGGTTGATGGAGTTGATGTTGGTATAATGGACTGTGTGATGGCCTTGTGAGTTTTGTTGTGGAGATATCCTGGATCTTGTGCTGTAATCTCCTGGGTCGTTTGTTTTGTGGTGATCTTTTTTCCATTAGCCTCTCGTGTTTTAATGATGAGGGGGATTGGCGGTGGTGTCCCGTGTTGTTTTGGGTCTGGTGTTGGTTTTCGTGGCTGGGACTCATTTGTTGGTAAGGGCTAGCTTCCAGATGTCTGGTAGGCCAATCCCCCTCATCAGACCCAGGCCCAAGCCCATCCTATAAATGAAGGACAACCATGATCCAGAAACCAGACCACGGCTGCTTCGCCAGCTGTCACACCCCCCAACCCCAAAACCAAACAAGCTGACACACGCCAAGAATACAGACCCAGACCCCAAACTCGAAGCCAGACTAAAACCCAGAATGCTACATCACGGCCACCCACTCAGGATATCACATCAGAAAACTCAGGAAATTACACCACAAGAACTCAAGAAGTTGCAACACAGCAAATGACCCAGGATATTACAGCACAAGACCAAGGATACCACAGCAATAAATCTCACAAGGTCATCACACAACCCATTACCCAAGCCGTTACAACACAGGAGGCTAATGGAAAAGAGATCAAAACACAAACAACCCAGGAGATTACAACGCAGGACCCAGGATACCACAACAAAAGAATTCGCAAGCCCATCACACAACCCATTACCCAAGCTGTTAAAACACCAGAGGCTAATGGAAAAAAGATCACTACAAAAGAAACGACCCAGGAGATTACAGCACAAGATCCAGGATATCTCCACAACAAAACTCACAAGGCCATCACACAGCCCATTATACCAACATCAACTCCATCAACCAATCAAGAGGCAACAGCGCAGCCAACCAGCCCAGCACACTAGCTCCCACCACCAGTATTTATAGAGACGGCAGCTCCAATCACACACTGCTTGCACTGGCACGAAGCCGAAAGCACCAGCCTGAGGATGGCGAGTGGGACCTCGCTGAAACGTCACCAAGATACTCTTAATCTTACATGGGAAAAGACCCGAACACACCTAGACCTACATACCTGTACCTGTGAAAATCTACGAATATGAATATATGAATATGAATATGAATATGAATATATATATATATATATATATATATATATATATATATGGAAATCAACAGCAAACAAAGCCTAACTATAAACTAAATTATGTTACATAAATAGAATGTAATTTTATACATTCCGCAGAATGTTAAACTAACTTCTGTATCTTGGGCTTGGTTTTTTTAAAAATCTATGTTGTGACCAGCTTCAATTATAGAAATTATATTATTGTCCTTTTTTATTTTCTCTTATAAAAAGATGACCTAACAAATGAATAACAAAATATTCTGACTTACCCCATCTACATAATTAATCAATTCAACTGTTTCTTTCTGTACAGCTTCAATAGTTCTTTTGAATATATACTAAAACAATTAAAGAAAGAAGACATTCTAATCAGGAAACGCAATTAGGAAAGTTTAAAAAAATCCCATAGCAATGTTGGCCCACCCAAAATATCCAAAATCTAAAATTAGGTAATATGTACCTTCATATGGACCAATCAACTTAACACAACTTAAATATCATTAAATTAAAGTGATTAGTCATCTATTTATCTTTTGCTTAGGGAGAAAATGAACCTTTTGTCCTGGCAGAAATAAAAACTTACTACTGTGTTCATATCAGCAATGGAGCGACAGAGAAATTCCAGATATAATACTAGGAAGCTAAAGATATTTGAGAGAAATTACCCTGTTGTTATCAACAACCATATAGAGTTCGACGTATCGTTTCTCTGGCAACACAGTTCTTCTTTTCTGTAAAATTGAAAACAGATCCCCATTACATAGCTGTTTTATTTGGAATTAGTTCAAAAATTAAGTAAAAGTTAACACCAGGCATTTGAAGCCAATTCATTATGTGAACTATTGTTGTTTGAAAATAATCAATCTCATTTAGGCAGGTCAAACAATTACTTTCAAAATGAAGTCAAGTCAAACTTCTTTGTTTGCTTCTAGTATTTCAATTCAAACTGGATTTGGAATCAAACTGTGAGGAAGCAGTACATTTTCAACTTTTTTTCAGTGAAATTACCTGTATTTGACTTCAGATGTAGCAACTCAAGATACAGAATTTTAAATTATTATTTTATCTTTGTTCCCCACCCACTTTTCAAGCATTATTTAATTTCAGAAAGAAATAACATGAGGAAAAATTTCCTTGGTGTGAAGCAAATAATTTATTAAAACTAAAAGAGCTGTGGCTAAAATCTAGAATACACAGATTAAAGCATGCAATATTTGAAAAATAAGATAAAAATATATTCACCCTTCGAAGTGTATCCTTACTGAAAGGATAATGTGATATATTAGTATATTTTAAAATATATTCATGATACTGGTCATCATTTTGTACACCACAGGAAAAAGATTCATGAGATTTATCTAATACATAGAAAAAGTGTTCAAATTTATTTGATCCCTTTACTGGCTCCATGCCATATTGCTTGTCACCAATATAGAGGATTCCCCTAAAAAGGACAAGAAAAGTTATTTAATCAAAGGCCAGCTATGTAAACAAAAATAACCCTAAATAAGTACCACAATGTAATACGTAGCAATATGACAGTACAAATCTACTAGTTTCTCAATAAGGAAATATAATGACATGTCTTTAGTCCTTGATTTACAACCACAATTGAGCTCAGAATTTATGTTGCTGTGAGAAATTTGTTAAATGAGTTTTGTCCCACTTCACAACTTTTCTTGCCACATTTGTTAAGTGAATCACTGCAGTTGTTAAATTAGTAACATGGTTGTTAAGTGAATCTAGCTTGTCAGTAGGTTGCAAAAGATGGCCACATGATCCCAGGATACTGCAATGGTCATAAATATGAATCAGTTGTCAAGCATCTGAATGTAAATCACATGACCATGAGGACATTGCAATGATTATAAGCAGGAAAAATGGTCATAAGTCACTTTTACAGTGTGGTAGTAACTTCAACTGGTCACTAAGTGAACTGTTGTACGATGAGGAATAGGGTGAATAAATGTCAGATTCAGTTCTGGCACAAATGTCTAGAAGTATACACATTTTGAAAGACCAAATAACTTTCCAAAATTCCAATAATGTAAACTGGGCACAGGAACATCTCACTCTCCAAATGTTTCTGCAATACACTCTCTTGTTCTCCTTCACCATTGGCCTTATTGGCTGTGACTACTGGGAGTTATTCTTCAGAAAATACTGGAAGGCAATAGATGTAAACCATACTTTTAATCTACATCAATAGCAACACACTCTCTCTCTTATCAGCCTTTTTTAATTTGTCCTTGTCCTGAGGCTAGAACTCTGTCAGTATAGCTAAAACCAGAGAATCTTAAGAATTACAATCCTAACACATCTGGACCCTTCAAACTTTCAAAAGTAACATGAAGATGATCCATGATTATTTTCAGCATTGCTGAACTGAAATACTGGGAAGGAAAAAAAAATCACTAGCCTGCTCAAAGCTACTGCTACGATCAGAGGTGGTATTCAGCAGGTTCTGACCAGTTCTGAAGAACCGGTAGCTGAAATTTTGAGTAGTTCAGAGAACCGGTGATTACAGGGGTGGGATTCAAATTTTTTAACAACCGGTTCTGTGGGCGTGGCTTAGGTGGTGGGCGTGGCTTGGTGGTCATGTGACTGGGTAGACATGGCTTGGTGGTCATGTTATTGGCTGGATGTGGCCAACTCAATATCACTTACATCGAGGTACTCATCTCCTCGCCTGGCCTCTCAAGACTGTGGGGATGCTGCAACAGTCGTAAGTGTGAAAAATGGTCATAAGTCACTTTTTTCAGTGCCATTGTAACTTTGAATGGTCACTCCACACAAGCAAAGTACCAGCAAAGGAAGGGAAAAAAACTCCAGAGACGTTCCTGAGACAGGAAGTCTAGTCCTGCCAAGAATGTAATAAGGATTAACGGAGAGGCAGTTTCTGTAAGCAACACCGGAATGTTTCCTTCCTGCCTTCCTTACAGGATTAGGCCAGTAATTTCTTCTAACAACCGGTTCTCCGAACTGCTTACAATGTTAACAACCAGTTCTAGTGAATAGGTGCGAACTGGTAGAATCCCACTCCTGGGTGATTACCACCTCTGACTGGAGATTTTACAGTATCCTTCCCCTGCCACGCCCACCAAACCACGCCCACAGAACCAGTAGTAAAAAAAATGGAATCTCACCACTGGCTCTGATTCACTATAACAGCAGTGTCAAACTAGATTTCAATGAGGGCTGCATCAGGGTTGTGCTTGACCTTGGAGGGGCTGAGAGGGGCACGTCCAGGGTGGGCATGGCCTGCTCGATGTCACTTGTGTCAGGGGCACCTATGGTGGCCCGAGTGCTCTGCCAGCAAAAACGGGCTCCTGAGTTCCATTTCTGGCTGTGACAGCCTCCTGCAACCCTCTGCCAGTGAAAATGGAGCTCGTGAGGGCCGCTGGTACCCCTCCCAAGCTGTTTTTGCTGGCAGAGGTACCACAGGCCAGTCCTTCACTGTTTCCAGGGCAGCCTCAAGGGCTGGATCCAGCCCGCAGGCCTTGAGTTTGACACCCCTGCACTATCATAACAATTCCTTATTCTAAAACAGTCTATGATAGCAAAATGAAGATGTTGTATTTGCTATGGTTGTGGAATGGGACAATCCTGAGCTTTTCCAACCCTTTTATTCTATGATTAAATAAAAGAATAAAAGGAATAGAGGAGAGTGGGGATCTTAGTTATTTGGTTATCTCATTTTGCATTCCAGTGTTAAAGAAAGAATGAAGACAGGCAAAACATTTTATTTTGGGTACTACTAGAGGAATTAAAATAAGTTCTCCTTATTTGACTGAAAACTCAGAAGCAAAGACTGGATGAGACAAGACACAAAACAACACAGTAGGTTCAACTATATCCCAGCTGAGTCAGAAATGGCTCAGAAAAACTCTTGAAAACAATTTATATTTGTGGGAATCTCGACAACAGAGGTGATTTCAAATTTCCTCTGTTGTATTCAAAACTATCCATCTGCAAGTACCGACAAAAGGAAAAGAAGGATTATACCTAAGGCCATCACAGGTACTGAGGGCAAGCAGAGAATCTGGAACTCCTTCAATATTTCCATGGTAGTAACAGTGTGTCTGAAATCAGATAATTAACAGCATTTTCATAAGGCAAACAGCAGATGCAATTTATTTTCTGATGTAAAGAAGGATGGCATATAGGTAGCTCTCAACCTATGAACACTATTGGCACTGTAATTTGTGTTATTAAACAAGGCAATCGTTAAGTGAGTCATGTCCGATTCTACAACTTTGTTTTGCCATTTTTAAGTAAATCACTGCAATTGTTAAGTGAATCATGCAGTTGTTAAAGCAAATTTGCTTCCGCCATTCAGTTTGCTTGTTGGACCTAGCTGGGAAGGTCACAAACGGAGGTCACGTGACCCCCCAGGACACCAAAATCTTCGTAAATACATGCTGGTTGTCAAGTGCCCAAAATTTAATCATGTTGCCATGGTTATAAGAGCAAGGATTACTTAAAAAGCCCCCCCCCCCCCCCCCGCCGTCACTGTAACTTCAAACAGTTGCTACATAAACCATTGCAAGCCAAGGACTATCTGTATTTACTCAGTTCCTAAGACGTTTGTTGTACAATTTTGTGGATTGTAGTGCAAGTAATGTTTATCCTGCTACCTTAAGATGATCAAAGCCAACAGAACCACAACAGTAATAGAGCATGTTTCTCTTCCTGCCAAGCATCACTTGAAAAGAGAGATTCTGTGCAAGTACTTAACCCCAGCCATTTTATTTTCCTGTGAATGGCACATGCGAAGGGAAAGATGTAAAAGGAACATGCTTACCATGGAGGTTTCATTTTCTTTCCTTCATGTCTCACAGAAAAAATGAGATAAACTTTTTGTATTATAACATATGGATCATTATAATGTCTTGCTCAGGTTTGAAACAATTACGATATAATTCTCTGGATCATTTTTAGATAAAGGATATAGTGACAGGGCTTTTATAGTATGTTGCAATGTGTGATGTGGTTTGTTGGGTTTTGCTCAGTGTAATGTACAAACACTAAATTGCTGCTATTTTAGTTAGATAAACCTGAAGGCACAGGACTATTTTATGTAATACAAAACATTGTGATTTTGATTTTCACAGGACTTTTCCATTGAATTAGGGAACTTCAGCCGCTTTCTAGATATAGTTTCTTCCCCCCATTTTTTTTTTAAACAAAGCTTTTTTGCATTGGAAGAGAAGCAGTATCAAAGAGCTAGGTTAGCTAACTATCTCTGCAGAAAAATATACATCAAATTTAATTTAATAGTCAAAACCTCCAGGTCTTGGGGGTTCCAGGACTGTCAAACTCAATACAAGTGTGTAGTCTTTGATACTATGTTTTGCATAAAATTCAGTCAAGACAATCATAATATTTTAATTGGCCCAAACAGTGAGAAGCTACACTCTAGCAAGATTTGTTGGAAGTCTAGAGCTAATCCTGCACTCCTTTTTGGAATGGAATTTTCTAAGCTTTGAATCGACTCCTCTCTGAGCCACTAATGCCTTAGAATGGCAGCCTTTTAAGTTTTCAAAAAATACTTTTATTAGCAGATAAAGTTATTGGCAAAAAGGTCAACTTAGATAACAAATTATCAAGTTAATTACTCATCTCTCATTTGGCACCAATAGCAACGAGTTGATCCGGGGCTCAAAGGAAGTGAATTGTACATATTTTAGATTCATGATGTCTATTTCCCACACACACAATAGAAAGAATATTCTGGGGGTGCTATTTTCTGTGGGAGTCCTAGAACATCAGTCAGAAATATTTGGAACTCAAATTCACAGGCAAGTTCAGGCTGTGTAATAAAATTTATTATAAAACCAGTTGTTAGTTGTATGCTAAAAATGCTGCTAGTAAAAGAATATAGTTTCTTAAGATATATTGTTTAACTTCCCAGACTATTAATCATCATGGCAAAGGAGAAAATACAGTGTATTCCAAGAACCAAATATGACAAAGTTTGGCAAAGAAAAGTGGTTTTCTGGAATGGAATATTATCTTTTTCTCGTGTTTCGCACATGCTAGATTACAACTCACACCACATCCAGCTAGCAGGGCCATTGGAAAAGGTTTTGTTCAACTCAAAGCCTTATTTATTCATTTATTTTTTACCTTTCCTTTAGGAACTCAAGAAGGTGTATCTGTCACTGTTTATGCCCCGTATTTATCAAAATAGATGGCACGGCAGTTAAAAATACTGAGCCTGTGACAACCTGGGTTCAAGACCCAAGCGCTGCGTGGGAGAGTGTGCTCTTGTACTTGATCCAGTTCCTGCCAACCTAGCAGTTTGAAAGCACGTAAATCAGAGGTGGTATTCAGCAGGTTCTGACCAGTTGCGGAGAACCGATAGCGGAAATTTTGAGTAGTTCAGAGAACCGGCAAATCCCACCTCTCACTGGAGATCTTACAGTATTCTTCCCCTGCCACGCCCACCAAGCCACACCCAGAGAAGCTGTAGTTAAGAAATTTGAATCCCACCACTGATGTAAATGCGAGTAGATAAATAGGTAAAACTTCAGTGGGAAGGTAACAGCGTTCTGTGCGCTTTGACGTACAGTATATTCATTCTGATCACATGACCACAGAAGTGTCTTTGGACAACGCTATCTCCCTCAGTTAAGAAATGGAGATAAGCACTGCTCCCCTCTAGAGTTGGACACATCTGGACAGGGGAAACCTTCACCTTTACCTTTAATAATAAAAACTGGAATAGAAAGTTGGCTTCTTCACAGATACAACATACCTGAGTTTCCACAGGAGTACTCTCCAGCTTGCCCTCTTGGTTATAAGTATATATTGTAAACTTTTCCCCAAGAAGGTTTCTACAACAAATTTCAAATCAATAGTATTTTAAGATGCAGGCTATTCATCAATGAATGATAACACTACAGCACTTTAATATACTGGTTAAAGTTCATAATAAAATTTATCCACATACCAATATTTTAATGAAATATAAGCTGAGTTTGATTTTTTTAAAAAAATTATTGTAAACATTCAAGCAATTTTAAATACAGAAATCTAATCATTTTAAGCAATGCTAGTGCCATATCCTGTTAATCTACTATGTAGTGTAATGTTAAAGTGTAATATTAAGCAATGATTTAATAATACCGTAATAATACCGTAACTATTAATAAATCATTAATAGTTAATTATTAATAATTATTTTTATTCTATTAATACAAGAAATAGAAGCATCCCATGTAGTTTAGCAAAGATCTCAGTTGTCATTATTCCAACTAACAACCTCCAAGAAAAAGACTCAGAGAATATCATCTTCCCAAAGATCCATTTTATTAGAGATGTCATATTGGCACATCTGGGAAAAACCCCAATCTGAGAGTTCCGGGTCTAAATGTAATTCTATACTGGGATAACCTTCCATCATCTAAAGTCTTTCCCTAGTCAATAGGAGTAATAAGCAACACCTTCATTACCTAAATCACAGACACCAGGAGTTCTCACTTTTATTGTGCAATTACCCTGCTTTATTCATCATTTAAAAGCCTGCCTATATTATCCTGCATTTATAATATTTTGATATTTTTCTATGACTATTTTCATAATTTATGTTTCAAGAGAAAATCAAGGTGGAAAAGAAGAAATAACTATGCACTGGCTTGGAGCTTAGTGTTAGATTAGACTTGCAATATCTTTGTGCCAAAATTAATTCTACAATAGTTATTGTGTAATAATCTTAAAATGCCAAGTATTTTGAGCAAGCAGAATTCCAGTAGGTATTGCCAAGATATTATATATACTGAGTTACTCTCACAAGCTATTCCTATGGCATGCTTATTCAAGCCAGTCACTAATTATGTAAGATTTCCTTATTAAAAGGAAACTAACCCAATTCAATTAACCCATTTTGCTGTTTCTAAGTCACATTTAATCATCTCATTGATCCAGTTATGCATCTCATGTAAATAGGGCGATGGAGACCTTCCAATAGATATCTATGATTCAAGGTAAGATTTTATGATTTAGATATAGATTTCTTTGTCTTTTGCTTTTCACACATATTACTTATGGGGGAATGCTTGTTGTATTGTCGTTACCAGATCCTAACTGACAATATACTGTATTTATCAAGATACTATTAGCAAGTAATGCTTTAACTTGTCCCTCCTATTTTTTGTTCGTTATGCTTTGCCCTTAAATGTTCTCAAATGACAAGACTTGTATCATTTTCACTGTATGACCTAATGCTCCACTGAACTAAATCCAGTTTAGCTAGAGTGTGGATTCCAGAAATCCCATCTGTTTCTCATCTGCAAAAGCCATCTGTGTTTTGCAAAACTTTTCATTCTGATAACATATGCTCATAAAACATAGGATCCACACCCAAAATATTTTCTTTCCTCAGGCACCTACAGTAAAGTTATTTCAGCCCACAATCTAGCATAACTTCTCAGTTCTTGTGAGATAAAGAATATTCTGGTTTTTTAAATTCAATGTCTCATGCCCAATAGAATATTTTTATCTGATCTCTATGCTAGCAAATGCCATTCTTTAAAGGATTCCTTCTATTGTGTTTTACTTTTCAAACTGCTTATTTTAGTGAAATTCTCATATCCCTCAAAAAAAAAAGTTAAAATAAAATAGAAAAAAGATTCAGAACTGCATCCAACATACTTATTTTTCTTTAATTTCAGAATGTGTGTTCCATTTCCAGTTTGGATCAAGTAAGATAGCTGATCGTCTACATGTTCCTGAAATATAATCAGATATATATATATATTTATGCATATGCATAAAGAACATTTGACATGTACTTCACCAATTCTTTGAAATGGTGCTGTTGCTTACAAAAAAAAGTATGCTGGTACAGTTATGCTTACTTTTAACCAGAAAACAAATCAAACAGCTCACTCCGGCTTGACATGTAACATACTGTATGTTTTACCACATCTTCTGCAACTTAGATGCATCTAAAAACAAAATGTGTGTGTGTATGTAGTACACATACATACATATTCATATACATACATAATTTATTTATTTAGGTATTTGGGTATTGAAAAGAGCAGTGGTGGCGCAATCAGAATGCATCACTGCAGGCTACTTCTACTGGCTGCCGGCTGTCGGCAGTTCAATTCTCACCAGCTCAAGGTTGACTCAGCCTTCCATCTTTCTGGGGTCAGTAAAAAAGGACCCAGATTGCAAACAGCTTAGAGAGACTGTAAAGCACTGTGAAGTGGTATATAAGTCTTATTGCTATTGCTATTTAGGTATGGCACAGACTTACAACATGTATTAACATTTCGCCTAGATTAAAAACACAGTAAAATATGAAGTTTAAAAAGAACTGTATTCAGGTACCAATGTCTAGGCCATCTAACTATTGAAGCACAGAATCATTTATCTGAAAAAAAAAAAGATACTGGACCGACATATGCCCTCTGCTTACAGCTGGTCACGATGTGATCTACAGTTTGATGTGAGACCCCACAGTCACATTGAAGGGAGGATGCTATGCCCCATTTATACAGTGAATCCCTGAAGATGCCAGGTGAGGTGCAAATCCTATTCAGGTTACATATATGTATGTATAGAGTTAGAAAGCCCCAATATAAATCTGCAATGCACATACAAATGTATTACTCCAAGGTTGCAGATCTACCTAGTATAAATTATATTCTGACAATGTAGCTAAATTCACTGGATTTCTTGATGGACTAACATGGTGAATAGAATATGCTGCTACCTTTTCCCAGCATGTTTTGCAATTGCAATAGTGCTTTACAGCCCTCTCTAAGCAGTTTACAGAGTCAGCATATTGTCCCCAACAATCTGGGACCTCCTTCCATTGACCTCGGAAAATGGAAGACCGAGTCAACCTTGAGCGGGTCAGGACTGAACTCCTGGCAGTTGAATGTAGAGTTAGCCTGCAATATTGCATTCTAACCACTGTGCCACCACGGTTCTTGATTCAATTGCAACAATGATGTTACTGTTGCAGTTGATATGCTCCATCAACTCTTGGCTTGTTCAGAATCCTTCCATTTCCTCCTAGGTATAAGGCTAGTTTTCTTTGACATCTGACAGGTCCAAAGGATCTGCTGGATCCAATGTTTTCCAACTCCTAATCTCAAGGAGATTAATTTATATGCATTCTAGACCTGCCATGAAGACATTTGTTCCAAAAAGGTGGTTGGATGGATGGATGGTTGGATGGATGGTTGGATGGAAGGGAGAGAGGGAGGGTTTTTTCTTCTTCTAATGGCAGTGTCCAACCTTTCTATATGTTGGAATATCCAGCACTGGAGTCCTCTTAACTGAATGATAGGATTGCTGTGTCTGGCTACCAACCATGTTGACAGAAAAATGATAAAATATGTGATAAAACATTTTTTATTAATACTATGGCTCCATAGTACCCGAAATTGTCTTGCAATAGCAACTAAATCAATATAGTGCTATTATTCCCCCTGATTTTGTTTAATTAGGATATAGATTGACCAACATTACTTGTCTTGTCTACTTATATACATTGTTAAATACTGTAGCATATTATCTGAGGAGCATCACAGGAATGAAAATAACTTAAATAGAAACAAACCTCATTAAAATATGTCCAGCGCTTCTCCCTGTCTGTTAATCTTCTAGGAATTATAATCTCATATGTGGAATGCCTAGAGATCTGTTGAGTATGTCCACCTACAAATAATTAAATTAGTATAGATTTTCCAATAACTTCTTAGTTTTATTAAATACAATTATAAAGAATGCAGAATTTTACTTTACAGCAACTACAGCAACATATTTATAATAAGAGAATCCCAAATCAGAAACAAGGTAGTGACACCTTCTCAGACCAACAAATTTTATGAAAAAGCATATCAGATGTGGAAAGTGGCTAAACTGATGTAGGACTGAAATCCCCAGAAATATCAATGATTTCTTTGCAGTATGGGGAGACAATTCTTGCCTGGACAGCAGAAGCTTCTAGATCTGGGCCTAAAAGGTCAGCTCCATCTTCTACACTTCCATTTATTTCACCTCTACACTTTGTGCATAAGCATGAAAAGTTCAAAGAAACCAATTCAGCAAAACCAGGGACAGTTTCTTGGATAGCTAAGAGTTGCAGACAACTTGACAAGGAAAAAACTGGGCTTAAAGTGAGCAAATGAATAATCCGGTGTGTAATTAAATCTCTCTCTCTCTCTCTCTCTCTCTCTCTCTCCCTCTCCCTCTCCCTCCCTCCCTCCAAACAAGTACAGTATTTCATTTTGACCACCGATAAATAGCCTTTCACAGGGGCACCAGGGCTCAACTTTTTCTGTCATGCTCAGCATCATTAACCCAGGACAGCAATGGACATTTTAAAGAGGAAGAGTGCTCTCTCTCCCTCTCTCCCTTAACCCCTTAGTAAACCCTAACCCTAACCCTCTACGGAGGTCTATATGGCCGGTCGATTCTGAAAGATCATCGAGAAACGAGAAGTGGTGTGTTTCACAACTGCCCTTGAACAAACAATGTCAACTGCCAGTCAACTTTCTCCGAAAACGCCTTTGCTGGGAAGCGGACCCACTGACAGCATTTCCTTCCATATAAGGAACCTCCAGATCATTTCCCAAGAACTCGGGCTTGACCGTTTTGGGGTTGCTGTTTTTTGTTAAGCTGCCACTTTCCGCTGCTCTTTTCTTTTAAAAGCCGCCCGAAAGCCAACCAAGACCATTACTTGCCCAGGGCTACGACTGGTATTCCCACGGCGCTGAGTCCCAAGACGAGGAAGTTCAAGTAACAGGCTGCTAACATGATCCGCTCTGCCAGCTTCGACGAACGAGGCGGGGACGGCCCTGGAGGAGTTCATCCGAAAACTGCTGGTAAACAAGCGCGCTTGAAACCTTAGGCGCCCAGCGGGAGGAGTTCAACAAACCCCTCCCCACCGACGGGGGAGCGCCGGTCCTGAGATTTGAGGAACTCGTTCCGCCGCATTTGGAGCATTGACCACGTGCGCGCTCGGCGATTGATAGAGCAGCGAGCGAAGCCGGGGAAGTCACCCCCTCCCCTGTTTTTAAGCAAAGGGAGGTGGGGGAGTTTTCGCAAAAAAGGAAGTTGAAGACAAGTGATTTCTTTTTTTTAGACAGTCTCAAGCCCGGGTTGCTTCTGAGGGGGACAATGAGGCTTGTACAGATTCTCAATCATCCAGGTCACGATTGGATGAGAAGCGAAAGGTCTTTAAAGAAAAAGAAAAAAAGGAGGGGGAAGGAACCAAGAAAGTCCAGTTGCCTCCTGAAAAAGCACCTTTGGGACATTCTGAGGGTAATGATGGCCAGCTAACAAACCATGATGGCGTTTTATATAGATATTTTAAAATCTCATTTACACTCTAATAAAGAGAGCGCGTCCCCCTCGTGCGTTTAGATTCGAAGAAGCTGAAAACTTCGAGCGAGGTGGGGGGGGGGGGGGGCTTTCCTTGAAAGGAAAAAGACCAAATTCCAGACCCAGAAAAAAACGAAATTAAGTAGCTTGATCATACTGTGGTTCAAATCAGCGTTTCTCCCATTCAGCAACGTTAAGCTGTGTGGATTTCAGGGAAGTCCACACAGCTTAAAGTGACGGAGGTTTTTTTTTTAACAGTTGTAGAAACCTTGTAGGTCATCTAGTCCAACTTCCTGCCCAAGCAGGGGACCCGTTTCTGACAGATGGCAGTCCAGTCTCTTCTTGAAAGCTTCCGGTGATGAAGCACCTACAACTTCTGAAGGCAAGCTGGTGGATTGTTCTCACTGTCAGAAAATTCCTCCTTATTTCTAGGTCGAATCTCTCCTTGATCAAACACTAGTTTAAATCACTTGTTAAGATGAGATCTGTGGCACTTCCCCCTTTTCTCCACATATTCTTTTATCCTTATCCTTCCCCTTAAAAATAAACTTTGGAAATTGGAAATTTACAGATGTAGAACATATAAATAAATTAAATGCATATATATCATGCCATAAATACATGCCTTTCCCCTCCACAAAGGATTGCATTAAAATGTTCAGCTTTATTATTGTTCATCCAGGGAGGGAATCCTGAAAGTTTCCTACACTTTTAAAGATACCCCTTACATTTTCTTCTCTGATGCTTTGCTGATAATAGATGGCTTTGTCAAAAGTAGTATGTGCAAAAACAAACAAACACTCCCTCCAACAGTGGTGGATAATGGTCAATGTGCACTTCATGAGTAATCTATTTATAGCTCTAATGGACATCAAGTTGCTAGGATTGTATACCAGTAACTGTTTCTTGATTTCGTGTGTGTATTATCTGTGACAGAGTGAGACCTGTAGTCTTTTTTTTGAGTACATTCAATTTTTCTAACCATCAGGGTCTTTTTCAGTGACTCTTGCTTTCAACTGAGCATTTACAACATTTCAGCTTTAAACATTATTACTAGTGCTTCCAGTGAACAATCTCGTTTTACTTCATACATTGGAGTATTTGTTTTTGTGGTCCAAAATATGACCAGCTATTTTCTTCAGTATCATAATCCAAAAGTATTCATCTTTCTTTGTTCAGATCATCATCTTTCTGATGATCATCATTCCTCTGTTACCAGATTGATATCTCTATATGTTAGTATTTGTCTAGGTCTGTCATAATCATTTTCTTGTTATGGTTACCAGCTCTGTGAATTTTAGACTTTCTAGCACAGTGGTCGCCAACCAGTGGGGCGGGGACCACTGGTGGTCCACGAGAAAATTTTGGTGGTCCGCAGAGAAATGTTACCCCAAAGCACCCCCCAAAGCAATTAATCCAGGCTGTGCTTGAACACAAGGCTGCGCTGCCCACATGGCCCGCGGGAACACAAGGCTTGCATCGCTTGCATTGTGAACAACATGAGGTACTGAGGGGAGGGGGGAAAGGGCGGAGGGGGGAACTTGCCCCACTCACTCCATGCGCCTGGCCTGGCCAGCGGGCTGCTTCTTTTCGCTTCTTTCTTCTTCTTCTTTTGGCTGCATGCAAGGAAAGCAGCAAAGACTTTCTTTCTCTCCCCCAAACTCCGCCAGAAATGAGTCTTTGGGACCCTGCAAGGCTTCCTGCTCCAAGACGCTGCGCCTGTGTGACAAGTCTCACAAATACTCATTTCTGGAGAAGTTTGGGGGAAAGAAAGAAAGACTTCTGCTGCTTCTGCTGCTTTCCTTGCATAAAGCCAAAAGTCTCTGTCCCTCTCTCCCCCTGAGAACAGAGCTGGAGACGGTATCCTGCGATCCCAAATAAAAAATGATTGATTGGTAGGAAAACGGGGCGGGGAATTTTCCTGCAGACTTTTGGGGGATTTTCCCAGGGTCTCTGGTCTGCAAGATTTAAAATTATGAGTTTGGTGGTCCCTGAGGTCCAAAAGGTTGGCAACCCCACCTCTAGCAGATAAACTTACTTTAACTTTGCTTCCTATTGTATTGAGTTGGCTTTATCTTTGACATGATTTCTCTTTTGTTTTTTGTTTTATGTAATGTTGCACAGCAGCCCAGCTTTTGTTCGCTTTTCTTTTACCTTCAACATAGTATTTCTTAAATTTTTTCTCACTGGCACATCAATAATGTTAAGATTGCTTAAATTTCTCGAAGGAAAGTTCCCAGTGTCTCCATTAAAGGAGAATATTTGTAGCTCAGAATTGAAATGAGGAGTCCTTGGTGCTCTCTGAGCTTAATTGTCTTTTTGCAGACATTTCATTACCCAAACTAAGTGAATACTGATGAAGTTACCTAGTTTGGTAAAGTTTGAAAGAAAACAAGCAAGCTCAGAGACCACCAAGGACTCTCATTCCCAGTATCTCTTTCTTCAAGTCCAGCATTGCTCATAATGTATTAAGCATATAAATTAAATAAATAAGGGAATAGTAGACAGCACTAGTATATCCATTCCCAGTCATGACTCATTTGTTTGCTCCATATTCCATTCTAACTGTTGCTTCCTAGACATTTATTCTTCAGTATGAAGATCAGATGCCTGATATACCCATGACTTTATTTATTTATTACATTTATAAGGCTGCCTGACACCATCATGATTTTCTGGGTGGCGTACAAGATTAAACCCATTTAAAGCAATACAAAATAACAAGGTGAAAAGGAGAAAAATGAACAGTTTCCAACTAACCATTCATCACAGAAAAGGCTTTGTGTCTGTTGCCTTTAGCTTTCCAACTTTCTTCCATTACTTCCAACGTTTTAACAGTCAGCTGGTTCTCCTTTTGTTTTCTGCATTTTGGGATAGTTCTGTTTGTTCTTATTTAATGTCACAAATTTCAGTTCATATTTCTTCAGGCATTCTGTCAAATCTAACCCATGTAGGTGGGAAATAAATGTGTAGATTGTACTATGAACTATTTCACGTAAGTCAACAGTTGGCCAAGAATTTGATAGATATCCCCGTCACCATTATGAAATGTTATAAAATCCTGGGCAGGTAATGTCAAGGTTTCCTCTGGGTGTGGAAACCTGAATATACTTGACACATTAACTACAGAATTATACTAAGTGATAAGAAGGCAAAAGTGCTTTGGGAGTGGAAGTAGTCATGAATTATGAGTCAATGAAATCTTTGATTAATTTCAGTATTTTTCTAAATGCAGAAAGTATCTATGCATGATGGTCTCAGCATCTTTCAATACCATCATTTTTTTTTAACTAAGTAGTTTGACGGAGAGATATTTTATGCTACTTCATTCCTTGGATAATTGATTCCAGAAGGTAAGCATGGAAATTCTTGCTGTGTCAGTATAGGTTACATAGTCTCTAGGTCTTGGATGTATTGTATTTCCTTGAGATCTTCAAGATTGAGAGATCTGCATGGAAGAGCTGGGGTTTTTTTCATTAAAGGCAAGGAAGATGTCTCTGCACCAATGTTTGTGGAGTGATGGCTTGACTGGGGGTCAAGGAACTGAAAACTCAGATGTGAATGATTGCAGACTTTCACTTGCCAGCTAAGCAACTTTCATCCTATTTTTGAGATAGTGGAACTTCCCTTGAAAGGTCAAACTCATATTTTTTTGGAGGGGAATATTCCTAGATCTAGCCCAAAGTCCCTGTTATAAGTTAAGATGATATACCAACCACAATCCTGTTGAGACAAAAGTAATCTTCTGGCAATTATTTAAGCAATTAAATATTTCCCATTTGAAATATGAGAAAAAGTTCTTGGATGACACCCCTCAGTTGTTTTTTCTATTATTTATATTTATCATTTATTTCAGCCTTGAATCAATTATGAAATACCTAGACCTCTAATCAAGGGTAACTATACAACTACAATAAAATACTTTTTATCTGTTTGCAAATTTGTTGAAGGACTCTGGGTACCATCTCCAATCAGCTGAGGATGGCAAACTTATAGACCAGTTAATCTAGAAGATATTGAATTTGAGATAAGAGTAATTAATTAATTAATTGTCAGGGCATTGCATAGAGAACTGGTCGGTTTCCCTATCAAATTTAAGGAGGCTTTTAAAAAGGATTTTTAAAAAATGCATTTGCCTAAGGCCAGGATACCTGTGGTCTATCACTAGCCGTGTTCACAGATTTGAATCCAAAGTACTGTACTTCTGAAGCTGTCCTCTAGGGCAGTGGTTGCCAACCAGTGGGCCAGGAACCATTGGTGGTGCACGAGAAAACTTTGGTGGTCCGCAGAGAAATGTCACCCCCAAAGAACCCCCCCAAAGCAATTCATCCAGGCTGTGCAGGAAGACAAGGCTTGTATCGCGAACAATATGAGGTAGTGGGGGGAGGGGGGAAAGAGCGGAGGGGGAGAACTTTCCCCACTTACCCCACGTGCCTGGCCTGACCACCGGCTGCTTCTTTTCGCTTCTTTCTTCTTCTTCTTTTGGCTGCATGCAAGGAAAGCAGCAAAAGACTTTCTTTCTCTCCCCCAAACTCTGCCAGAAATGAGTCTTTGGGACCCTGCAAGGCATCCTGTTCCAAGAGGCTGTGCCAGCGTGACAAGTCTCACAAATACTCATTTCCAGCAAAGTTTGGGGGAGAGAAAGACTTCTGCTGCTTCTGCTGCTTTCCTTGCATGAAGCCAAAAGTCTCTGTCCCTCCTCCCCTGAGAACAGAGCTGGAGACGGTATCCTGTGATCCCAAATAAAGAATGGTTGATCGGTAGAAAAACAGGGTAGGGAATTTTCCTGCATACTTTTTTTTGGGATTTTCCCAGGATCTCTGGTCCACGGGATTTAAAATTATGAATTTGGTGGTCCCTGAGGTCCAAAAGGTTGGGAAGCCCTGCTCTAGGGTTTGCAATCAGATAAGGAAACAAGAGTGGCATATACCTTTTGAATAGCTAGTCAAAAAGACTTTTCATATGGCATCAGATAGATATCCCTTTATTTTCTGGTCATTGAAAAATGAGGTGCTTTAGATTTGTGTTTTATTTATTCTCCATTGCTAGTTTGATCTATGTATTTGTTATCCTATGAATCAACTTACCCCCATAAGTGTGTGTGTGTATGTGTATGTATGCACACATACATACATACTATGCTCACTAGTTTGCAAAAAAAAAAGCAGAAACAAAAAACATGACACTAAACTGTTTCTTTTTTTGTTCACAAGGGGAAATAGATGTTCAGAATAAACTTTTGCCTTTTTCACAATTTTCCATAGAACAGCCCAAATTAGCTTTCATTCATTTTTTTAAAAAAAAGTCTAATGAATCATGTAAGAAATGTCTTCTGTAGAAAATATTGACAAACTACAAAAGATGACAGTCTATAAAAGCAATTCAAAGCATATTATTTATTTAATAGTATATAGGTAGTCCTTGACTTACTACCACAATTGGGACTGGAAGTAGGAAACAGACTGAACAGATATTCTAATTTTGGGGAATGAAAGATATTATAAGGGAGGTGGAAAAGGGAAGATTTTTCTGCCTTCTTTTTCAAGTTCACCTGAAGGAATCCTTCCTGTTTTAGATTGGTCACTCAGCTTGAGTTTCTTGAGCTGTACAGTTTTCTGCTATTTAGACTGACAGCATTAAGTTTGATGAACTCGTATGCATTTTCATATTTTGTCCCCCTTCCACAATTGTCATTAAGCAGATTTAAATAACCAATGGTATTCCTGCAGTGCCAGAAATAATCAACTGATCTGAAGTAGTGATATTTGCCCATGAATCAAAAAACTTACCAGTGGATTTCTAAAATACTCTTTCATCTCTTCCTGTTAGTTTTATCCCAGATAATTCAGCCCTTTATTTTTTATTCCATCTATTCTTTTGGCAACTCCTTGTTTAGCTCTTTATTATCTCCATTTTTCTAACTTTTAACCATATCATCTGATGAAAATTGTGTTTACAAGACATACTTATTCATTGTTAACAATGGTTTACTCAAACCAGTTTTATGAGTTTGCCTTGACTAATCAATGTTTGGTTTGTGCAACATACTAACATGAAAATGTCATGCAAACTCTGAAGAATTCTTGAAAAACTATTTTATAAAACTTCATTGGCCTAAGCATGACTTTCAATCAAAGTATTTCTACTTTCCGTGTGTTTATTCTATAGCACTGCAGTTTCAGTGATCAAAATGTTGTGAGGGTTTTTAAAGCCTGAATGGCCTCTACTCCAGCCTTTGAAAGCCATTGCAAACAGTGTTGCATATCTGCACTATACATATAGTACAGATTTCATTCAATTTCCAAGGTTGCAACGGTGTTTTTTCAAGAGGCAACTGGACTTTCTTTGGAACAACCATGACCTGGATGACTGAGAATCTCCATAGCCATTCATTTTCAAGGGTTATGCAAATAAATTTCTGTTAAGTTTTCACATCAACCCAAGCCATAAAGCAGTCTATAATCCATGATTGCCTAAACTGGGCAAACCCTGACAATTCTTGTTAAGCAAATCATGGCTTTGTGCCTAACGTGAATCCATTTCCTTATATTCCATCTCTCTCTCTGCCCTTCCCTCACACACACACACACAAGCAAACAAACATGGAGCAGGACAGACCGCGCGTTGCAAACTTTTCATTACAAGGAAGACCCAGCTTTATAATCACTACCTGCAGGCAAGGGATGATGCAATCTTGGATTGTCTGAGAGAAGTATGGGCATTTTTTCATTTTTAGTCATGCCGGGCAGTTTAATTTTCCTCTCGAATACAGGAAACATCAGGAAAACATTTCTTTATAAACATATTACATTATTTGCTCTGCACCCAGAACCTTAAAATAACCACGAGTTTCCTTCTTGGCTTCTATTGCCGAAGAGGGACTGGATGCAAAGACACTGTGGCTACGTTACAACAATAAGCAAATGCCGGTCTTCTATTATCTCGACAGACAGCTGCATGAAGCACAACTCCCCGGAGTTCTGCTTCCACTCAGCAGGGTGGTTGAGTAGCCACAGCACCAAAAGCAGGCGGGTCGCTCTACTGACAAATGAGCCGCGGCGCTATCACGTGCTTGATCAACTCACTTCCTACCTATACCGACGACAGAAGTCTCCTTGTCTATGGTTAAATTTGTGAGAAGGCGGAAGTTCCATTAAACATACGTCCGGTGAGCAACGCGTCCCTTGGACATTCAGTTCCGCCTTAAAATTACTCCGCCAGGGTTTCACCCCGGCCGGGGATGCTGTGTTACAAAGGCCCTTGGGTCTCTTACTGGCCATGGCGAGTAACAGGAGCAGCCTGACGGAGAAGCCCCAGGCTGGCTGGGACGACTCTGCCGGCGGCCCCCGCGTCTCGGTCGCCTGTTCCTGGGTGTGTCCGAGCGATCTGGCGAGTGTTCTCTGCGTCGTCCCGGCGGGTGAATTCGATGCGGAGGAGCTTTCGGAACCCGCCCCGAACGGGTGAGAAGGGCCTTTTGAGTCGGGGAGGGAAAAGGGGACCACTGAAGTGTAGCTAACGGCCGAGGAGTGGCCTGGTGATGCCAAGGCTTCCTCAGCAGGGTGGTTGAGTAGTTCTTTCCAGGCTCACATTTCTGAGTTCAGAATAGAATAGAATTCTTTATTGGCCAAATGTGATTGGACACACAAGGAATTTGTCTTGGTGCAAATGCTCTCAGTATACATAAAAAGAAAAGATACATTCATCAAGAGTCAAGAATCATAAAGTACAACACTTAATAATAGTCATAGGATACAATAAGCAATCAAATCATATTAGGAAACAGTCAATATAAATCGTAAGGATACAAGCGACAAAAGTTACAGCCATACAGTCACAAGTGGGAAGGGATGGGTAATAAGGAGTGATGAGAAGGTTAATGCAGACTTAGGAAATAGTTTGACAGTGTTGAGGGAATTATTTGTTTAGCAGAGTGGTGGTGTTTGAGGAAAAAACTGTTCTTGTGTCTAGTTTTTCTGGTGTGCAGTGAGGAGCCCGTCATTCATTTAATTCGGGCATGGGCTGTGGCATGCATTCTGTAAATCGCGGCATATGGTTTACCTGGATGTGTGAATCCAATCTGTTGGGATTTGCTGGTTAAGCCAGGCTTCAAAAAAATAAAAAAATAAAACTTAAAACCATTGAAATAGAAGGACTGGATTTATTCATGGCACCAAATCTGGGGTTAGCAAGTGGGAACGGGAGGAGGAGAAACAATTGATGGGGTTTTCTGCGGCTCCCTCCCCAACATCTTGGAGCAGAACTGCTGACAATTAACTGTATGCTTTTCTTGCCCCCCCCCTTCCCATTTGCTAACCTCAGATTTAGTGCCATGAGTGAATCAAATGTCCAAAAGTGAATTAATCCATTTTGAATTAAGCCTTATTGTGTGAAGGGTAAGGGGAAAATAGTAAGAAATAGCAAAATAAATGAAAGGCAAAAGATAGAAGGAAAATAAATTGAATCAAAACTAGTTTACATTTAATGTATCAGTCCAAACAATTCTGTGCAATCCATCCATCCATCTATTGCACCCATTCCTTTCATCGGCTTTTGGTTTTTTAACCTTCTCTACCTCCCTCTTTCTGAGTTCTCACCATCTGCATCCAGTCACAACTTTTTCGGGCTTACTTTTCTTCTGGACCTGTTTTATCTTCCTTTATTGATTTGTTTCATGTTTGGTTCTCATTCATTCTCTATACAAGTAGTTTTCATTTAATGACCACACATTCAGATATTATGACATTGAATAAGGTGACTCTCACTGGCCCTCATTGTTGTAGCATTCCTACGGTTGTATGATTGCAATTTGGGCTTTTGGCAGCTGACAATTAAAATGGTTGCAGCATCCTCTGTTGCATTACAATTTGAACCTTCACTCCTGGCTTCTGACTAACAATGTCAATGGGGAATCTGGCAGGAGGTCGTAAATGACAATCATGTGATGTCACACCTAACAATATGGAGGATTTGCAACAATAACTGCCATTGTAAATCAGTACAGTCATGTGACATTGCTTTTTATGACTATGTTGCTTAGCATGGAGTTGCCAGCCCCAGTTACTGTTTGTTAAGCAAGGCCTTTGTAATCAAACAGTCTCAACATACTTGTTTAATATTGATAACTCATTTTTGTGTTCGGTTCATACTTATTTCATTAGTCATTCATTCTTGGTTGTGTAAAAGCTCCAGTGCAGATCCTAAAATAAGCTAGACAGATTTAAACATACACAAGATAAATAATAATCCACACTCATTTTAGCAAAGCAAAAATTCTCCTCCCCCCCCCAACCACTTACGATACATATAAGGTATCCACAGTGATTTTCTCCACTATCACCCAGTGCAATCCCTGTCTGTCAATAAGTTGATTTTAGTCTTTATCTTTTGTATCAGCCCAACACAAAAATGTTTAGACGTACACTCAAATCTATGTATCTTGTTCAGCTTCCCTGATTTGTTAACCTAGGGTTGCCAGCTCAGTTAAAAGTAGTCTTGATTATTATTCTTTTTATACATATACTCATTTGCCGGAATCCATATTCTAAAAAATTGATGCCTTCCTCACACATACACATCCTCTAACCATTTTCCTTCACCACAGACTACTGCCTCATTCATTTATACACATTCAGATACATAAATATCTTCCTTTATTTTACCAAGTAAAACAAGTGGAAAACATGAGATGGAAATAGGATGAGAAAGGATGGCTACGCAGGAAGAGAAAGAACGAGAAAACAAAAGAGATGAGCAGGAGAGGTAATTGACAGGGTAGAAAATGTAGAAAGTCAATGTCTTCAATGAAACAGAAATAAAGAAAAGCTGATGCTGTCCCTAGAGAATGAGGACTGTAGAAAAAATGTTTGGAATCCTTGGATAAAAGCAGTTTTCAGTTCTTTTATGTATGGACGCCATACAGTTTTTGCTCTCAAGATTCATTTTCTTCTTTTCAGTAGTCCATGCTTCAGTTTTCTGAATCTAAATTTAGCCTCTCTTTTCAAAGGGTAGGAAAAACCACTTCTTCATGTATCTACAATAAAACTTTGAAGAGATAGCCATTTGAACACCTGTGTCAGATTTTAGCCATGGGATAAATATTTGGATTTTTGTCATGTACATTTGAAACATTTGTTTCCCAGAGGTACTGATTATTCAAATGAGTAATTAAATTACTCATTTACTTAAATTACTTAAAATAACCTTTCTCTCTTATTTAGTCAGAATCTTGTTGTTCTTGAAGAACAAATAAATGATGACGGTGTAGTTCCCTGTTTACTGTACTTGCACTGTGATCCATGCGGATCTGAAGAAATTGTCAGTCTAAGTATTATAAGTGAAGCAAGGAACATGGAAGTCTACTTAGGAGATGAATACTATGGAACTGGAAGGGGAGAGCGAGTGTTTACTGTCAAACATGGCAGGTCAGTTGTTTGTCTTTTTTCACATTGATTTAGTCAATAATATAATGACATTATATTTAGTCTCGCAGGTAAGACTTCCAGAAATTATATATCAAATATTTTATTATTTATATGTCAGTAATGCGGCTGATTGTTTTTTCTTATTCTGCATTCTTACTGGTATGTAGATTGCATTTTGCTAAGGTAGTCAAACTAAAAGCAACATTTTGATGATTGGTTAGAAAATTTTTGAAAGGTCTTTCTCCTAAAGAATCATGTTGGGATAGCAGGAATATAATAGATACGATATTAATAATTTGACATACTAATAGAGATCTTAACAATGTTTCATTTCATGAAAGAAAAAAAAGATTATTTAAACATGCTCAAATTATATAAGGAGAGGATAACTCTTATAGCTAGGTTGCTTCCAAGAGGTTTATTTAAAAATAATCCTGGAGCAGAGTTTTAATCATATATGGATGACTAACTTTATAAATTTATTTTTGATATTTTTCTCCAAAATAGCTAAAATAAACTATAAAGTTCATTGTTAGAGCTCCTGCTGAGCATTAAGCATTGCAATTTTCTCATTCATCTCACTATAGCTCTTAATATCTATTTTCCTGACCTTGTGATTTTTTGGGGGGAGGGGGGGACACCTTCAGTGGAATTCAGTGAGTACCACATTTGATAGAGGTACCCATTTAATAGAGGTACCTTCAGTGTTAACACTGAAGTGCTTGCCATGTACATAGAATTTATGGATTGTGAGTGGGGTTTTTAGTTTTTTTGCTATATTTAAGTAACTGCTTATATTATGCAGATTACTAAGAAAATGTAAGAGCTATTGAAAATTTCTAATATTTGAAAATGTACTAGTGCTGTCTTGTTTATTTGGACGTTAGAAAAATGTAAGTAGCATCTTGAAAAACATCAGTATTTCTTGTATTGTTCTTTATGAAAAACTATTTCATTGATGCAATATTTATAAAAAATTTACAATTCCTTTATTTTACTTTTTTCTAGCAAAGGTGACCAGGTTTCATTATACAAAAAATATCTTAAATTGGAATGTCCCACGGTTTCTTGTAAGATTAAGGTAGGTTATTACAAAAAAAAACAACCTCTTAAATTTTGGCTCATTTTTTTAAAGATAGTTTCAGGAGTTTTGCAGATTATTTTAAAGAGGGCCTTTGCAAAGCATGATAGTGTGCGAAGCACTCCTCCTGAAAGCATTGAAACAACTGTCTTGCAGCTTCTTTGAAAACTTTCTCCAGCTGAATGTACGTACTGTATGTGTATCGGTATACACAGGCAATACTTCTGAAACTGCAAATAAAGCAGCTGGACATGCACACCTGCAAACTGCTTGAGACAATATTTGAAGTAGTTGTACAGGCCTTCCAGTGATAGAGCTGATTTGAGAAGAGATGTGCTTTATAAAGAGCCTCTGTTGACTGCCTTGTACTACCCTAATGATGATAAATAAAATTATTGTGTTCCCTCTTACATTTCAGAAGTTGTAAAAAGAAGACCATTTCCTTTAATCTGTGATATTTTTTCCCCAGACATTTTGATTATAAGTAGTTTTTAATTATCTCTTTCTGTTTGTAAAGAGGATATTTAGAGATGGGAAAAAAGCAATATAGCACAAGTAAACTATGATAGGGAGACAGATTGATAACTTTTAGAAGCACCAAGGGTTTGCTCTGAAAAACTATTCCTTCCCAGTTTCAAATGTGCAATAAGCATATCTATCCCAGAACTTTCCTTAATTCTTTAACCTCCATCCCTGGCCTGACTCAGTATGCCTAACTAATATAAAACTGATCAGAGGAAAATAGAAAAGAGGTTCTCCATTTTTCAGAAAATAAAAGATTAGAAACTCATGTTACTGACATAATGGACATTTTGCTTTCAAAAGTTCTATAAGATGTAAGCTTGAAGTCACATGAGTGCAGAATCAAGAAACTAATCCTTCTTGAAATTGTGGATTTAATGGTATCTAATAACAAATTTTAATACAACTAATGTTTTGCTTCAACCTAGTATTATTAGCCTATTCTTACATTTAGTTATATCAGACCTATTATTAGCACCTGCATAAAGCTTACCATGAGAGTTAAGAGGAGAAAATTGGAGGTCATTTTTAAAGAGGTATCTTAAATTAATTGAATTGTTTCCTCAATTCACCAGAATTCTCTTTTCACTAGCTATTATCCATCAGTGAAAAACAAAGAGTACTCATCAATAAAATCATAGTACAAGTCCAGTCAGCCTGTGCAAAAACTGTGCCAAATGTTACATTAGGATCAGGAATAGACCTAGATAAAGTACAAACTATAATGGAATCAATGGGATCCAAATTATCACCTGGGGCACAACAACTCCTAGATATGGTTCGTTTTCAACAGAAGGTAAGTTACCATTTGCAAAACACTGTTCATAAAACGTCCTTTTTATGTGCAAGATATAGAAGAGACTGTATAATGTGGGATATTTATATTCTCAACTTGTATATTATTTGTGTGCTCTTAAGTAACAGAAATAAAGGCAGGTTTTGCCTTTCTAATGTCTCATAAAAAAATTTAATTGTGTAGTAGAATTTCTTTTTATATATAGTGTTCCTTTACAGATTAATTATGTGGTCTTTTTGCATAGTGAAGATAGATAATTAGATATGTAACACAAAGTTGCATAATTGGTCTGGAAAGGTAGGGGATATATAAGTTGAAGTTAAAGTAACCCGTGAATCTTCCAATTAGACTCCAAACATAGATAAGCTCAGTTTTGCATAGTACTTGGGAGGCTACCAGAATCCAGAATTGTAGGATAGTCTAGAAGGAAAAAATGAACTGGGGGATGGCAAACAATTCCTATATTATTGCCAAGACAATTGCACTGGTGTTTCAGGTAGTCATACTATTCAAATGTGAATGTGGGTGTCATTTAATTGAAAGCTATGTAATTCATTAATTATCATGGTTCTAAGGTCTGGATCAATCCAGTAATGAAGAAAATAACTGTGAAAATGCAATTATATTCTGCTCTACCACTGTTACTCTCCTTTTCATTTGTCCTGCTCATTCCATAGTTAGCACAGTGTGAATTTAAGATAACAATGAAAAGAGCTATTTATACTTTCTTCTTGAAAGCTCCAAATTATTTATGTCCTATCAAAAATTATAGTAAAATAAAGCCAAGTTCAATACAATATTATCAAACAACCTGTTAGGCATGGACAATCAGATCTATACAACTCAATGAAGAATTCCATTAGTTACTTTCTTGCTCGTGCCTATTTCACAGGTCATTGGCAGTTTGCATCTGGGCCAAACTAGGTTCAACAACATTCAAGGGGGATTGGACCTTGCCCTGTTATGCCCACATAACAGTTCCAGACTAATTCCTGCTTGGTTCTTGCCCCTGGCTCAGTGAGTTTCTCTCCAACATAGCCAGGGTTAGCAGAAGCCAATGGGTTAAATATAGAAAATCGTTAGAAAAACAACACATTGAGCAAATGGTTTTCCAATAAGGGCATTATTCATCAGTTCAATATGAATCTGCAATATACAAAGAAATACTATTGAGATTAGAAATTGTACAATTGTTTTTTCGGATTATATATCTAATTAATGAGACCATGCATTTTATTTCTATTAGAATGGAATTTCTTTTGGAGGCAAGTTACAAACCATCTTAGGAGGAAATGGATTTGTGTATGGAAAAAATCATCCCATTGATGGATTGAAAAAGACCTCTGACTTTGAACGGTTAGACCACTTGCCCAACGGACCTTCTCTTTTAAAAGCTAATTTGGTAGCTAAAACAGTTGCAGAGGATTTGAATGCACACTCCAAGATAACCAGACAGATTACAGGTAATTTATTTGAGCTCCCTGGACTTCAGCCTTGTACTGTACATTCTGAAAGTGACTGTAAAGGATTGCTAGCATCGTTTTTTCAAGAACAAAGAAATGAAAATTCAAATATACCTAATTCCTCATTGCTGCTTCCACTTCTTCAAACAGTCTGTGGTCAAGTAGATCGTCTACCCACAGATGAAAAGGATAAATGTTGTGAAAACAAGTTTGCTTCTCAGAAAGATGGAATTCAAACTGTTGGGTGAGTTTGTATTGAAAAAAAATATCCATTTTTAAAATTGGGCTCAAAATGCCTCTTTGAAAAAACGTAGACTTTACCCAGGCAGTTGAACTAGGTAACTGTTAACAAAACCTGAGTTTGAATTTACCTGGGTTTTTTAATACATTAAAGTTGAGGGCACTCAAATTACTAACTTCTGAATGGTTCACTTTCCATAAATATTTGCACTCTGATAGTAGGAACTATACAAAAGATTAATCAGTTGAATTTGAAAGATAGTTCACTATGCAGATATTTTCTGAATATTTACTGTTTTAAGATACTGGCATGATATCACGGAAAAGAAAGATATTTATTTGCTTATTCAGTTTATATGGGTGCCCACTTATCAAATGATTCTGAGTAACTCACAGTGTTAAGAACTCGAAATAATACATCAGTAATAAAAATCCAACAAACTTGTAGAAGCACACTATAGCATTGGGTACAATAATTCACAAAATTCATATTGAAACAGTGTCCTCTTCCAATTCCAATGTAATGTAATGGTTACTTTATCTGTACTCAAATGCTGAAGAATTGTATGCCTCTGTATCCATTAAGGGGCTATAACCATATTTTACTTGCTGACTTACCAGAGGTATTTGATTGACTTAATTTAATAAATCTTCTTCTCATTTGATTAAATTAGTGGTAGATGATACTGCTTAATATTTAAAAACACACATTTAAGATTTCTAAATTATTAGTATGTGTACTATTAAGTAATGTTAGCTTTGGAAGATTTTCAGATTTTGATTGTTCATTGTCAGATATTCTACTAGAGTATTTGTAAAATTCATGCTACTTAGGGTACATAATTTATACTTTTGGATAGCATAGATCAGTTTTTGGTTGTTTGCATTTTTTTGCAGTTTAGAACAGAAGCATATTTGTCTGTATTTGGAAAAGTTCATGTCCAAAAAGATTGACGTGACAGAGAAGAGATTAATGGATTATATTGACCTACGTATGCAAAAACTTCAAGAACATGTTGATAATAAACTTGCTTCAATCATGGATTTGGTTAATAATTTCAATATTGTTTCTCAAGAATGTGATCCTTTGAAAGAAGGAAACACAGATGGGAAGAGGTAGGAAATCCTTATAAAAATCAAAGACCTTAATATGTTTTATAAGAGTGGGTCTGTATTTTACAAACTTTTTGCTTATAAGCTTGTAAACATTTACATCTCAAATTTCGTACTTTTTCTGTAATTTTTCAAGTATGATGTGCTAATGTTAATTGTTATATATCTGTAATGTGCATAATAAGTATTTTTTACATTTCAGAATATTTTCTACATCTACTTATGACCTATTTATTTGTAACTATTTAAAAATTAGTCTGGGGCATGATAAATGTCTTACTAAATTATTTTGAAACATTCTAAATGTTTCAAAATAAGTGCTTTGTAGCTTTATCAACATTTAACAATATTTTTATAGTTAAGTGTAGGGTAATTTCACATAAAATAAATTATATCCATTCATTCTGGGTTCTAAATAAATCTTAGAAAAAAGCAGATTAATTAAGGGAAAGGAGTCAGTGTATTTCATTGGCACATTCTGTATCTGGTCTTGTTATCCATGTAGAACTTCTAGATATTTCAAAATGTATTTGCTCTGATCTTATTTTGTATATATTTATCTCTATTTGACAACGATTCATGGGTAAATACACATATGATGAATTTTTGTAGTACAGCAATAGAATCAAATGATTTCTGACATCAAAAACTATTTTTTCTCTATGATTTATTCATGTATACTTTTCTTTAGTACTTTCCTTGAATGATTGTGTATTAATACATAAACAAGGTTAAAGGGTTTGCCTGAAAATAAATTTAACGTGAAGGAGTTCATGGAAGGAGAATATTCCTGGCCGTTTTCTTTCCCACAGCCATCTGTGTTTCCTGAAAAATTCACCAGAAGGAAAAAGATGGGGGAAGAGAACAATCATATTTATGACCATAGGTTTCCTCAATTTCTGTTTCCTTTTTTTGGTATCTGATGTAACTGTGTGTATGTGTGTTTTGTATTTGGCTATTTCCCTTCCAGATGTGTTTAATGCTATAATTCATTTATCTTAAATGAAATTATCCTTTAAGGAAAAATCATGGAAAGACGACAGAACATTCCATTCATATCTCTGTAGATGAAAAGCGAGTCAGGTGAAGATCCTTGTTAGTTACTCAATTTCTGGTATCTGTATCCAGTTTCTCGAGTAATGAGACGCTTTGCTGCTAGACCAACCAGGAGTACTGTGTTTGTAGCCAACACAATAAATGCAAGGATATATAGGGTCTGGGGCTGTGCATTAAGACTTTCTTCTGGATAAACTTCACTGGAAATGGCTGAATATAAAAAAACAGAAGACAAAGAGGTTAAAGGGTCTTCACAAATTCCAAAATCATGGAACAATAGAATAAAATCTGTAAAATTGTTGGCTATAATTTTTTTAACCGGTATTTTATGACTGATTGGGTAGAGATGGAGATACTGGCAGTTCTGCTTGTCTGTAGTTCAGTGGCAGCATGCTTTGATTGCTATTTATAATACTGAAAGTGCTCTTAAACAATTCGCAAAAAAAAAAAAAAACCTGTTAAATGTACTGATGTAATCAACTCCAAGAAAACATTCTCACCTGAGCGATCTATGGAACTTTCTTCTCTTTTCAGTCTGAGGGGTCCAATCACAGCATCGCCTTTCCATTTGTAGGAGGAAATCTCTCTCTTATGCCGAGAAACGCAACCTTTGGTACAGCGAGAATTAGAATCCTTGCTGTCACAAATTAAAACTTCACAGCGAAGATAAACGGATGGGTAATGTTTTAGAAATCTGAAGGACCTGAAGCTGAATCTCCCGTAATGCTCAGTGATGGGATAGGCCATAAAAGTATCATCCTTAGTGCAGCTGAAATAGAATTTTCAGATTATTTTATCATGATTAATAATATGCATTGATATATTATGCTTATCAGAACTGTAAAAGTTCAAGAATGGGTTCTTTTAAGGCAAAAAAAGTTTCAGTCCTACATCTATTTCTTTCCTTTGGCACATGGATTCTTTCAATCTGTAGTTACCCCTCTTATATTCTGTCCAGAAGGTTACTCATGTTAGTCTGTTGCATGTGTACAATAAAGCCATGTGAGATGTATTACAATTTATATGCTTGTAGTTATTAATCTATTTTATCAAATGCCTGGAGTCTTTTGAGCAGATTATTAAATATATGTAAAGGTGAATGAATGGCTATAGCCACACTGTACCACTTTTGTTTATAAACAAAAGTCGTACTTACTGTGTTTCCCTGAAAATAAGACCGAGTCTTTTAAATTTATTTTTATACATATACATATACATACATACACACACAAACCAAAAGACCCATTAGGTCTTATTTTCAGGAGATGTCTTATTTTGCAGGCGCAACGGCTTACAGGGCTTCCCAAGACAGACACAGTTTTCACCTGGACGGAGAAATGCGGAGGCTCTAAGCTTTGTCTGCTTGTAAATGGGACGCTTTGAAACAGAGCTAATCGCTCTGTTGCGAAACGTCCCATTTGCAAGCAGAGAAAGCTTTGTCTCCCTGTAGGCAAAAAGTGATGGTAGAGCCAGGCAGAGGCATGGGGGGAGGAGAGGCAGGTGATGACAATGTGCTGCCCACTCCGTCCCACCAACTCTTGGCTTACTCGTGCCAGGCAGGCACCCGCACAGAGCATGGAGATTGTCTGCCTCGCCTTTTGTGCCTCTGTCTCCGCCTGCTGCCGGTGCCACAGCGTGAGCCTCCCGTGAGCCGTGCAGTCACACAGCACATCTGCATCGCCTGTCCCCCACCGCCTCTGTCTCAGGGCTCAGATTTACCTGCACTGCACCAAGGGGTCAGCTGGCTGCAGTGGCGGCTGGATACCGTCGGCCCCCCGTACACACCATCTCTTCTGCTGGCCACGCCCATCCCCTAGGCTTATTTTTGAGGTAGGGCTTGCTTATATTAGGCCCACCCCCCAAAAAATATCAGGCCAAGGCTTATTTTGGGGGTGGGTCTTATCAGGAAAACACGGTACATGCCATTCAGATATCCAGATATCTTTAAACAAGCAATGTATGTAATACAGTATGAAACCTTTGTCCTATTTTACCTTTTGTCCTATTTTTCCTCTATGAGGGAAATTAACATCAGTTCTATTTATTGTAATACAGCTCAGTTTATAGTTGCAGTAAACCCTAGTTGTAATTAACAGTGAATATACTTACCCACTTTTAACTAAATCATAGTTTGGTGATTTAGAATTAAGATCTGGAGATGCAGTGCAAGTATCCACAAACACTACCAGATTTGGATCACTGGAATGTAGGCTGATCTGTGCATAGAGCATTTGGTTCAAGTCAACAAAGTAGGGATTTTCAAATACTGGTTTGGAGAAGGAGTCTGTTTCATAGAACGACATGCTGAGATTGTATCTACCTACAGTCGTTGTGTTGTCTAAATGTTCACTTTCTGTTACATACACAATTTCTACTGTTGAATTGTTTTCCATTATACATTTTACAACAATTTCCACTTTCTTTTGGCGGGTGATCATAACGCCCACTGGCAAGGCAGTTACAATATTGCTATATGAGATGCTTTGACCTTCAGTCTGCCAAGGAAAGAAAAGAAGATATTTTTTTAAATGGTACAATGTTTCAGGAGACAGAAACAATGTTTCTGAGTTACAAATAAAGCGTCTAAGTTTTTATAATCTCTAATTATAAAATTATAGTTAAGTATTTTGTTTAAATGTAACAACCAGTAGCAATGAAATCATATATGATAATACATTGAAGAACATTGGAAAAGTATAAGTTTTCTCTAATATCAGTTTCTTTGATACTACTGCTTTTGCCATTTGAAAACTAAGAAGGTATCTTGAAAAAAAAATCAGCATTTGAATTCTGTAAAAGCATAGGACATTAAATGAAGCAGGCTGTTGCCAGTAAATAAAACTACAAAGGAAACCAATGAGGTGTATGCAGTCCATTTACAGCTTTGATCTCTAGTTTCAGGATTGTAACCACTTTGTAAGTTCCATTAATTTTAGTGGGATCTGGTGTAAATGCTCCGCATATTTTGCATCCTGTTTGATGCTTCCCAACTATCTCTATACTCATGGGGTATTTTTTATTTTACTTACTTATAGCTTGATAGCATTCTTTTTTATATTGAGTTGTGTAAAAGCAGAGTACAGAGATATACAACTATATTGGACTCATTTAATATTGCATGCCATTGATGGGTTTAAATCTAGGGATAGCATATGTGGAAACAAGTAAAATAGAAAATCTGATAACCAAGAAAGAAACAAGTCCAGTACGGAAAACTAACTGATGTCAACTCATCGTCATCTTGATTTTTTTCAAGCCTGATTAGTGACTCTACTAAAAGCAACTACAGCTTTGGAAAAAAATAAATGAATTCACAGAAAGACAAATGTTACCTTTTTAATTGTTCCACAGCTGTTGATTGGAAAAGAAAATATCACTGGGTTGTAAGAAGTAGGCTTGCAAGTTTGGTTATTTAGAGATAAGAAACTTGCATTATAGTTGAGTGAAGCCAAGTAAAAATTACTGAGAGTAATTGTCATCCTGTCTGAAGAACAACTGAGGGATGCTAACAGGAAAGAAAAAAAATAGAATAGTCATGAATAATACAAATTTTTTGTCAAAGGAAGAAATATGTGACTGCTATTGCCGATGGATAATACAAATTTTTTGTCAAAGGAAGAAATATGTGACTGCTATTGCCGATGGATTTGAAACCAAGTGATAGAGATTAGAAAATTGTTTTGTGTGAAAAAGAGATCATTTCTTTTTCATTTTGTGTCAAAACCAAAACATCTCTGACAAGTAGCATCTAATCAAGACTTTGTTGAAAAAGCTAAGTAGTGTTAAACAGGTTTATATATAAATGGGAGATCCCCAGGGAAGCCTGGTTCCATGGCAAAATAGTAAAGTAAAACAAATAGAAAACTGACTATTACTATCACTTTGGAAATGTTTTGAGCTTGAAGCACTTCCAAAATGGTGAAGAAAAATATTAAAACTATTTCTTTGAGTGTAAGCAAGATATTAGCATATGATACTGGGCGTTGATTCTGAAATGTATATTTCATAACAGCTGCTCTGTAAAGAGAGTAAAAAAAAATAAGGTTCAAGGTACATCATCATTGTTCTCTGTATGATGTTATAATCCTGCAGGCAGAGATCCCAGCAAAGCTCCATACTTTCAACGTGTGGTTTTTTTTTTAGGATTTCTCATAATTGCTGTATTTTGAACTAACTTGAACTTTAAAAAAGACCCACAAAACATCTGCTGGCTGGTGTTTTAATTGTAAATTGTAAATTGTAATTAGCTGTATGTGACCTTGGATATTTATTATTTAAATTATCTAAATATTTGGTTTTAACTTTGCATACTGCCCAGAGTCATTGCTGTGACATTGCTGTGGCAGCTATATAAATTGTATCAATAAATGATCTTACATGTTATCAGGCGTATATAATTATAGTCAGGCATAGCTGTATTGAGAGTTAGTATGATGTGATGGCTAAGGAAATCAGGAGATGGTTGCTTGCTAATGTTGGAGAGAGAGAGAGACTGACTGACTGACTGACTGACTGACTTTTGGCTTCATGTAAGGGAAGCAGCAGAAGTCTTTCTTTTTCTCCCCCAAACTCCGCCAGAAACGAGTCTTTGCTGGCATAGCCTCTTGGAGCAGGATGCCTTGCAGGGTCCCAAAGTCTCATTTCTGGCGGAGTTTGGGAGAGAGATAGAAAGACTTTTGCTGCTTTCCTTGCATGCAGCCGAAAGCAGAAGCAGCCCAATGGCCAGGCCAGGTGTGTGGGGTGCATGGGGCAAGTTCCCCCCTCCCCCCTCCCCTCACTACCTTGTGTTGTTCGCAATGCAAGCGACGCAAGCTTTGTGTTCCCGCGCAGCCTGGATTGTTTGGTGGGGTGCTTTGGGGGTGACATTTCTCTGTGGACCACAAAAATTTTCTTGTGGACCACCAGTGGTCCCCGGCCCATCAGTTGGTGACCACTGCTTTAAGCCCAAGGAAACAAGCAATAGTAAATCAAAATCCTGCCAAGAAAGTCCTACAGGGGCTTGTTTAAATACTACCCAGGAATCAACACTGACTTGAAGGCACAAAATAAAAAATAGGAGTAGGAATCTTTGATGATGGATAAAATATCTGAGTGTGCTTGTGCCTATGTTAAACTAGTCATAACTTGAAATAAGGACAAAATCCTTGCCATGTTTCCAAATCTAGAAAAGATGTCATAAAGCAGATTTATATACGAAACATCATTGGAAGAATGGATCTGTATTTGGTATTCCCTTTCCATATCCGTATAAATCAGTATAAATCAACCTCACTGGACTTACTGTTCGGTTGTGATATTGGTGTAGTAGTGTAAAGAGCTGAAAAGCCCCTGTAAGAGTTAGCATAGTCCGTTGACATCACAATTGTCATAGCATTAGATGAAGACTTAAATGTTGGCGTTGAGTGACCACACATTTTTTTGATTAAAGGAGAATTGGACGTTGGACCATCAAAAATGGCGAGAAAATCATATCTGCAGTATTCATCCATTTCTAGCCTGGACACAGACAAAAACAACAGTTTTTTATACTATTATTTCCATACCACCTTTTCTCATTTATCTTCATTTATCCTTAGAATAACTTTGGTTCCAGGTTTTCCCCAGTCCTAGTTTGGGCAGTCTTAACTTATTCTCCATGTTAGTTCTATGCCAGATAATACCTTCTTGACTTTGTGGGACTAGCTTTCATAAGTGTTTGGATGCTGGCTGCAGAAGCTAAATGGATGTAAGGTCTAGGTTGGATTTAGGCAAATGTTTCCAAAATGTATATAATTCATGAATCAATGTATTATAGTGATTATTATAAAATGGGGGACCCAAGAATGAATGAAAATAGGAAATAAAGAGCATCAGTTTGGAAAAAGGTGACGGTCAAATATTAGTTTAAGAATAAGCATATGGTAATTATTTTGCTAAAATCCCACTTTTCCTTTATTGAATGATTTTTATTGAGATGCCATCATATGATTCTGCCTATTTTTAAATGCAAGGTTAATCTGAAAACTTATTTGAGCTTATTTCTTTATTTATAAATTTTAACATTTCATACTCTGGCCAGAATTTGAAACACATATGTAAACCAAAATGTACTTACAGTATATCCTTGAAAATTAAATTTATTTGGGTATATGGTTCTGTTTCTA